CTCCGCAGTTGAGGGTGGTACTGACAGCCACCCTTCCCGTGTCCGGTAGGATGTGTGACATTAAGAACAGTCAAAATCTACTGATTACATATCTTCTTTATGAAAGCAATGAAAGGAAATGAAATACCTTTATTGTACATACGCAATGACCATTGATCCACACTACAGATTAGGTGTGAATCCAGTCAGTATGTCCTATATTGTTTTCAGTGGATGTAAGGTTCACAGTCCGTAGGAGGCCAAACAAAGTCAATCTGCAGCCACTGTCTTCTAACTTTTGTTACAAGTGGCGAAGAATTAACAATCGTTAAGATATCTTACTTTGGTGTGTTTGTAGGTGTGTGACTGAGTACAACTCTGACCCCTACATCAACAACGCGCTTGGCTGTGGGTCAGGCGGGCATGTATCTGAGGTAGCAAACTTGGCTTTCTCAGCCGGGGCTACATGGCTTCAAAGTTTCAGCTTTTTTAACTGTACCACCAACACCTGCCAACGTCGGATTAACGAGAGTCGTTCCAGTCTTTCTGACACTCAAGCAGCCTTTGGCTCAGACGGAGACAGGATTGTGTACACCGTGTGTGCAGGATCAGCAGGTAAGCATAAACAGTATTGCCTCTACATGCAACATTTCACATTAACAACCATTCAGAAATGCACAAAATACAGCTGTACACTTGTTTCTAGTTATTTATTTATTACAACTTTGCCACAAGGACAGGACAGGGGAACAGGCAGATGCCTTTTGAATGCTCCCGGTTTGAACAAAATCTAATTGATGTAGTTAAAGTTTGTAGCTAACTAAATAAATCACATCAATAATTTGTTTTCTTATTTTATGTTAAAATTTTAATTATGTTGTTTAACTACATGACTTTTTCAAAACTGGATTACTGTGGTGTAATGAAGGGTTATTGCCACGACCCGAGGTTTATATGATATCTGCTAAAACCATGGAATAAACCACCAAGTGGGTGTAGCGAACGATTTGGTTTGTGTTTATTGATTTGACCAGGGATTATTATCTCATAGATATACACCGAGGATAAGGCGTGGCATTAACATTATCCAACTGAGAGTTATTTGACACAAATCCCTTTATAAAATTCCTCCATTTCCGAAAAAAACTAAAAACAAAAGATGGCGTGGACAGAAAAACAGGTAATCATCTGCGGTGACCGCGTGGCATTGGAACAGTACCACTTTCATGTAGGTGTAAAAATCATGTTATTTTTTTCTGTTTAAATTTCATTTATATATTTTTAATTGTGTTGCATTTTCAAATCAGTTATTTAAATGAACTACAGACTCTTTGAATAGATAAATACTACAAGTCTTGACACTACTGTTAGTGTCCTGTCCACAGTATAATGGCACGGTTAAAAAAGTGGTCGGTTACTCTAATAACCGTTAGTTTCCAAAACAGTGACATTGTGTAGCACTTGGCCTGACCTCTCAAGGACGCCTACAGAAATTGAATAGATTATGACTTTGCTTATTTTGATTATTAGATCTGTTTATTATTTACTGTCCTTGTTGATAAGACCTATGCTAATATCTGAACTGTATGTTATACATGTATATAATCCATGGCTCCACCGTAAAGCAATGGTTACACCACTGAGCTAGGCCATTCTGGCTTAACATGACGGAAAATAAATGAATAAATTATATGAATGATAAAATAGATTTACAATGAATAAAACAGGACGCACAAAGAGGACTTGTTCCTTTTTGGCTTCAACATTGCTAAAAAATATTTATTTAATTTCAACTGCACCTGGCAATTTCAGGTTGCAATATTTTGACGCTTTTATTTTATATTAATAAGTTTTCCAAAGTATAACATGTGCCTTGGCTGCATTCTATATATCTTCATCTATAGATGTAACGTTAATGGCTTGATTATCAAGAGGTCTTGCAAACTTGACTACGCGCTATTATGTAAATAATGTTTGTCCACTAAAAACCATGGTAAGCGCAGTACCAAGGTATATGCGCGTTCTTTGTATCGTTTAAAACCTCTTATACGACGAGGATGGAACAGATTTCACTTGCTGGTTACAACAATGTATGTCTCTGTAACTGTCTAACTGTTCAATGTACTTTCAGTAAGCAATAATGAGTGTGGAACAGGAAACGGTGGCTGTGCTCATGTGTGTATCCACACTCTGAATGGTCACAGGTGTATCTGCAGACAGGGATTCGCATTGATTGCAGACGGCCACGGCTGTGAAGGTCAGAAATTTTTCTACACTCTACCAGTCTGATATGTCCCACACGTTTGAAGTAGATAAACGTATACTTTTTTTAAAAATATTGCCTTTGCTGCTGTCCCTTTGCAGAGGATGAATGTGCAACAGACAACGGTGGGTGTGCCCACAACTGCACCAAAGTCCCGGGAAGTTACAACTGTTCCTGCATTCAGGGCTTTATGTTGATTGCGGACGGTCATGGCTGCCAAGGTGGGGTAATAACGATAGCCTTGCACATACTATGTTGTTATTAGATGTGCTATGAGCTTTTCTATATCACCGTAACAGGTTATTGAACAGGTTCTAAGGGTTTAGATGCTTCTCCTTGGGTTGACACATCCAAATTATTCTCTGAGCTTTTTGTTGACGTCAGAAGGCCATGGCTGCAAATACCTAATGCATTGTTTTACGTGAATTGTAGATTGATAGTGACATGTACAAACTTAATGTAGATCAATTGACATTGCGATTTCCTCTAATTACATTACGACTGTTTCCGTGATCATTAACCCACAGGCATGAGGACCCTGGGTCCTGCCATAAACAATACTCCCCGCTGTGGCTTCTCTAGCAGCTCGAATAGTGAATTGACCCCCATAACTACATAAACTAATAAACATCCTAGACGGTCCAGCCACCAAAAACAATGGCAGGGATAGATTACCATAATAGCTGTCATTCTTTTTTTAAACAAATTCAAATATTTTCCTACACTAGTTTTCAAAGTAACAATATCAAACCATGCAGAATGATCGGGATAGTTGTAACTGAGTTACATAATCAAGAAAATACAAATGTACTATCTGCAACTTTCAGTTTCTGGAATTCCAACCTTGAGGTCAATTAATTTTTTAACTGCTCTGTCAAAGTAAACAACAACAAAAACAAGAAATTGGAACTTGTGGATTATTGCATGAACAGCTAAAGAAGTGGACTAAATTATTTACCTTTCTTGCTGTGTTGATCTCAGGTTGTTTGTGTTTCAGAGTGCGGCCACTGCCTGGGCGGGGACGTAAACTGTGACCCAGTATCGGGCTGCTCGGCTGGGTGTAGGGACGGGTGGAAGACACAGCTTTGCAACAAAAGTGTGTTGTGGTTTTGTCATCAGCTTTTAATTCATTTGCTTTTTCCATCCATGTCACGTATTGATAATTATAAGTATCACTTATCATGTAAGTCCCTGTACTTAAGGGCATGTGTTTGTTAACTTGTCCTGCGGAGCCCGACACTTGTTGTTTTGCAAATTCAGCACCAAATATATATATATATGTGTGTGTGTGTGTGTGTGTGTATATATAAATATACTCTGTATAGGCTCCATTTGGGAGTATTGTGCAACGTGCAACGCATCACACCGCAGCGAAACGCAACGAATGTGGAGGTAACTATGCCACAGCAGAACAAAACAAATCAGGGGTCTATGACCTAATTAAGACACGAACTTACTGAAAATTATTGTGTAAAAATGTAAGCAGGACAAGGGTTATTGTTGAAGAAAAAGCATGTAATCAGTAGATGAAAGCATCATTCTTATTCTCATCTTGAATATTGCCCTCCCACAGCTGTGGATCCACCAATGGAGCTGGCCTTAACTGACATCACGGATGAAGGGTTCAAGGTCACGTGGTCTCCATCCCCTGACCCTGACCTTCAGGGGTACCACGTGGTGGTGTCTGAGCTGGACCTGACGACAGCTGTCAATCAGAGAACGGACCAGACATGGCTCCAGGTGGTGGGACTGACATCGCAAACTGATTACATCATCAGGGTGACAGTGTCGGTCCTGTCTGATGGTCGCTGGGCACAGAGCAACGCGACAACGACAGAGGCAACCACAAGTAAGGAAAACCTACTTTTGATGAGTTGGTACAGCAAAATTAAGGGTTTTACCAGGATAAGAGACATGTCTGTGACAGTAACATTTGTAGAAGTTTTCTGGATTGGTTAATTATCTATTATGATAATATTTATGAAAGATCATGCACAGACATTTACATATTATATAGAAACTATGTTTTGCAAAATGAGAAAGGAGGTGGAATGCATCTGAGTAAATACTTGAATGTATATGATACTGATTCAATTGCGTATGTTTGCGATGTGAAGCATGGGCTATTGGCCAAGAAATTAGGAAGTTTCTTTCCGGAAACTCTGTTCCGGGAGTTAGTATCTCCCGTCACCCTTTGTGCTAACTTACGCCGTAGTTTCATTGCTGGTACCCACCCACAACCCACTTCGCAGGTCAGTTTAAAAGGGCAATTCAATAAAAACGCCTGATGTGCAACACTAGTTGTCTTGCTGCGAATAGTAGATAATTTAGTGCACAGGCCAAGCATATTCGGGACGCACTCAACTTATGCCCAACGCACTTTCGGCAAATGCCAAGCGTATAGCCGGCATTTTCACTGCTTCTTCCTGCTGATTTTATTTGCAGTGCGTCCTGGTTATCATGGGCCGCCCTAGACGGAGTTTAGTAAAAAAAATATTAAAAATGTGTTTGTATCCACTTCACTTTAGCCGAACAAAACATTAAGATAAGAAAATTTAAATCAACTAAAAAATTTAGCCTTGTAGAGGTTACATTTGTACGAGTGTTTAAGATCCTGAAGTTGCTCTCCATTTTCACTGTAGAGCACAACAAATGCGCGACAGAGAACAGCCGGTGTGACCAGATCTGCACCATCGTCCCCGGGAGTTACAGGTGCTCCTGCCGGCTTGGCTTCGTGCTGATGGAAGACGCCCACGGCTGTCGTGGTAAAAATTATTGTTCCGTGATATTGTAGTTTGTAATACAGGCGTATATTTACGCAGTGAAAATACCCAAAACCCCTCTTCTTTGACTTTTTTCTAAACACTTTATTCAGGTCTTATTCACATCAATTCAGGATTAATATTATGACTAGCAGCATATTCTTACATTGCATTACATTACATTGCACTTTTTTAACTAACTCCACGGTAACACTTTTCTCTGTTAGCCCCAATTTGATACCAGCTTAAGCACTTTGAAATAATGCAATAGTTACTTACATATTTGAAATGGGAATCTAGTAAAAGGAGTATAGCATAACCTGTTGTTGTGTTAATACTGAGTTCTTTGTTTCTAAGTATGCGGCCACTGCCTGGGCGGGGACGTGAACTGTGACCCAGTATCGGGTGTCTGTTCGGCTGGGTGTCTTGATGGGTGGAAAACACAACTTTGTGATAAAGGTATCTTTTGCGGCAGTTGCTGCTGTTATCTTTCACTAATTATGCATTGATCTTTATCCCTAAATTCTGCTTTTTAGAAAAAAGAAGCTGCATAATTTGTAACCTGGACCTGGACTCACAGGCTTTTTAGAAATATGTTACAGCGTTATTTAGGAATCTCTGTAATATGATTAGGTTACAATGAGGGTATACTGACATTTGGTGCTATATTTACATCTAATTAAGAGTAAACATTCCTTTACACCTGTTTTGATCCTTTTCCTTGCAGCTGTGGATCCACCAATGGAAATGGCAGTAACTGGCATCACGGATGAAGGGTTCAAGGTCACATGGTCTCCATCCCCTGACCCTGACCTTCAGGGGTACCGTGTGGTGGTGTCCGAGCTGAGCACAACGACAGCTGTCAATCAGAGCACTGACGAGGCGTGGTTTCTGGTGGTCGGCCTGTTACCAGATACTGCTTACATCATCAGGGTGACAGCCCTGTTCTCTTCGGGTGGCTGGAGGTCACAGAGCGAGGTGACAGTGATACGTACAAAAACAGGTAGGGAGAGTAGCTTTTGTTGACTGTTTATGCCACCAAAAATAGAAGTTAGTCCGACTCACTATTGATACCAGAACATTGTTGTCATTCGCATTCGCAATTCGCAAGATAAATTCGCAAGATAAATCAGTACATTTGAACTGGTTCAATACGTGAATCACTTATTGAGGGAAAAGAACAAAAGATTTGAAATTTAGAGAAATTCTAAGTCCCTAAACCGAGCCTTTTCTCTGCCAGCCGCCACACCAACCACAACGCCTGTTGCTACAACCCAGCAGATGACCACCCGCCTTTCCACCAAACCTTCGACCGTACAACATGCATGGGAAGCTGGGTGGGACGAGGAATCATATGATGACAGTAGGTTTTCAGCATTTAAAGACTCTAGAAGCCATCATTAAGCAATCATATGGATACTTTTTATACATTTTGTAGTCATTAATCAGTGAGAGTCCAAGCCGGTCCTGATGGTGACCTGTTCACTCTGAGTACCACGCTATTGTAATACTTCATAACTTTAGAGAATCGTGGGGTCGTGTGGCATAATGGTAGAGTGTACGACCAAGCGGTTCCGGGTTTGAATCCTGCCATACTACTGATCTTGTGAAAGGCAATTTACACGACTTTCCTCACTTTACCCATTGACAGGTGGAAATGAGTATAGTATTGTCCTCTAGTGTGTTGGTCGTGGCATAAAAATAAGTTGAAAAAAAATTGAGTGTGCCGTCACCATGTCTCGTAATTACATGTTGGGATACAAAAAAAATTGAAAGTTGTCTTCAGATATTGGAATTTTGATGCTTATTTGTTTTTCGTATCCCATTAGCTTCAGAAACAACTAAGCAGACAAGTAGGATGCCTACATTCATGTCCACCAGACCATCAACTCCAACTGCACAAAACGGACTGGATGGAGGATTTTCATCTACAGATGTTGACCATTCTGTCACCAAAACCACCATTGGGCTATCTGGACACTTTTTAGAAGGTTATGTAATATCATTAAGCGTCGATGTCATTTCAGCATTAATCTATATAAATTTACTCCCTTGTGTAAAGGTGCACAATATAGCTTCTTCTTTTCAGTGACCAAAAATTTGAGGGGGCTTATGAAACTATGTAGAAGGTAGAATCTGCTCTTAACTTGCACTGGCATTTTAGGAGAAATCTTATAATGCTACTTAACATGTGGTTAGTGATTTCTTGATAACTTTATTCTGTTTCTGTTGTGCAGAAACCGCGGGTACTATCGGCAGTCCGCCGGGTGGCAACAGAGCAACGTCAGCTGATCAGGTAAACTGTGCAGTTTTACACTGAGAGTATTTTAGGGATCCCATTTCTACTGGATTTATAATTAGTGACTAAGTGTAACTAATGATTTAGAAACATATTATTGCTGTTGTGCCCTTAAATTATGAACTTAACTCCTGTCCAATTATCTAATTATTCTGACTGCACGGTGACCCCGTAATCCAATAGGCTCTTGGTAACAGTCTGGAGAGCATCTATGCAGAATCCGTCACCTTAGACCCACTGGATGTACTCCGGATTCTGGCTCAGGTTAGTCACATTAGTACGTTCAATAATGTCGACAGTAGTTGACAGTAATATAATTATAACGTGGTGGTTGAAGATCAACACAACTAAAAACAGCGTTTTTGCTCGGAATCATTAAAGGGGAGACTACTCAAAGTTCAGTTTTGTAGTCTGACCAGGAGTTTAGCCAGCATTGACTTCGCATTCGTGGGCATATCGTTTTGTGCCTCTGGCTTTGGAGTACTCGAATAATTTCCTCAGCTGTCGGCCGTCCTGTTCTCCCCGCCTCGGAGGAAGCCAGCAACATAAGCGGGGAGACTGTCTTGCTTTTTTTTTGCGAAACTCATGCAATGGCTGTGTCTGCGGTCAGAAAGAGATTGCAGTTCGAAAGATCACAAGGCGTCCGGATATGTTGCATATTGCCGGTCCAACACAACACTACAGGCAAGTTTCTGGACTACTTCTAATCTAATTATTATTATCTAGTTAGGGCTGAATACTCGAGCAGCGGTCAAACATAGCCGCAGTATACGATGGTGAGGTCAACTACCACTAAATTGGTGTCATGAGAAATGGCAATAAAGTTTAACATGGTGGTATTATAAAAGTAGATATTACATCTACATGAACCTGGTTCTTTGATTTGTTGCTAACGACCAACTTTATTTGCAACTTTGTCGTTCTTTAATGAGAAGGCTGCAGATTTCTCTGGAGATGATGTTGTGTTGGGGCAGCCGACATCAGCTGCTGAGGAACTGGCACAGGTAAGCCATGTTTGGTAATCTGTATATGTTAAACATTGCAAAACATTCATGAAAGCTGTTTGGACCCGGTAAAGGAGCAAACCTTAAGGTGTTCAGTCTTGTTATCCGTTGTTGTAGATGTGCAGGAAGGCAATTAAAACATGGGCCTCTGAAACGCGTCGGGCAGAAATGCCGCCACGTCTACAGAGGATGTCAGAGTTATCATCACTTGTCATTAGGCCCTGTCCTGGCATTCCACAGGAGGATAAGGTACAAGTATTTGATGGGATTTTTAGAAAGCTGAACTGTTTGACTCCTCACCTACAACTACGGCATGGCTCCTCTTGCAACTAGCAACGGTGTATAAAACTATAACCTTTCTCTAATTCTGGTTTACGTATGATTGTGCCCATATTGTCTTATGTATGACACAATAGCCTTTGCTCTTATGACATTGGAAAGTAAAGTAGGTAGTATTTGGGCATACTTTTTCAATGTTTAGACCTGCAGCATGGAAGTGTTGCACATCATGTCAGTGGTTTTTCATCTTTCTCAGGGAGTCTCTACTTTAATGTGCTGAACAAAAACTTTTATTTTCCCAGCCGGTATCAAAAAGTCTATACGCACAAAAATGCATTTAATTTAACTTTTTAAAATCTTTTTTATTAGTGAAATTCTGCATGACATGTTTGCATGATACTTATCTAGATACTGATTGAGTAACAAAATGTTGCTTTTAAATCTCAGAAATCTAGTTTTAAAATAGATCTATGCTGTCCTATAGGATATGGCCATTGGTGTTCTGATGTCCATCACCCGCAAACTGGACCAGCTAGACATGTCTGACCCGTCGACTGTCCAGTCTGTGGGAGGATGTAAGTACACTGCCATGCTCGTTAGACATACTGTGCTTCTTATAATGTAGTCACAACATGTATTCCCAAGTATTTTGAAACCAGTAGAAACATGTGACGTAATTATTATGTAATAGCTATACACACATTGTTTGAACATGCACTGACTCAGGGATTGCAACAACATGCAACCTGGTTGCAGGTTAGTTAAAGGTGACTAATGCTGCTCTTGTGGAGTCTGTTGGTTCTGTGTTCTTTAACTTTAAATGGATAACATTTGATTCTGTTTCCTGCAGCTCTGGTGGAGTCTGTTGGTTCTCTGCTTGAGGACCCAAAGAGAGATGAAGAAGAGGCTGATGTGAAGCTCGCTTCTGATCTCGAGGAGGACCAGAGTCTTTCTCCAAAGGAGCGCCTTCAAAAGGCAAAAGAAAAGAAGCAGGAGAACCAAGCTAAGGTAACAAAAAGTCATTGACAAATTGCTTGATTTTACTGCACATTCAACTCGGTTGACTCTTAAATGTTTATTAAGAAGTTCATCAATCGTCCTACATTATAGTAATAAGCTGTTTTTCCTTGTTTGATTTTTTTACATCAGGTGTATTTAACGCTGTATGTAACAATTCACCGAAGATGTATCTAGTTGGTTTCTTGACAACAGTCAGATGTAAATCATAGAACACCAAAAAGACCTCTGGTCTAACCAAACAGCTTTTTTTAATAAATGAATGTCTTATTATATATAACTATTCTAAGATTAAATGTTTTATGCTACCACATGTCATTACTGAGTTTTCTGTGCGATTGTAACTGATCTTATTGGTCCCTGCAGAAACAAAGATTTGTCCAGCAAGGCCGCCAGGTCCTGGGCGGTCTGTTCAACGCCATCATCGGCACCATGAGGCCAGGAGCCCCTGCGGTCACCATCGAGAGGGGTGGCATCACGCTGCATGTCCAGAGGATTTGGGGTGAGCGGTTTGGAGGCCAGGTCGTGCAGACGGAGGATGGGAGCTTCCAACTTCCGTCTAAAGCAGCGCTTTTCCCGGACTATACACCGCACAACGTCGCTATAAAGGTATCATGTCATATTCTCAGGGCATCATTGATCATTGTCTTTCCTCTCTTCTACCCGTGTGATGATATTGATGTTCATTTGGCTTCTAGTCGTTGGTTAGAACATGTTTTTTCCGCAATGTCTTTCCGCAATGTTTGTTTTACATTTGGATTTTTGGACTATTCCTATACATTTTTATCATTTTCAATATACATGTAATCTACAGTAAATTTGTTTTCCTTTAAAGAGTATGCAAAGACAGTGAGCTATCAGGCTTTTTGTATTTCAGTTCATGCAGTTTCAACGGAACCCTTTTACCTGGGGTCGTGGGGAGTACCAACCACGTTCGTCTGTCATGGAACTGTCACTCCAACAGAACAACATCCCCGTGGCCTTCAGCAACTTGACTGAAGACTTCATCATCACCATTCCAGCCAAATTAGGAAACAAACCAGCAACAACAACCGTCACCATCCCTGCACAAGGAAACGGAAGTTCCAGATACCATTTGCTGAACCTCACCAACGCTGCAGAAGGCTTCCTGGTCACAATCACCCCGCTTAACACCAGCTTGGTTTACCGTGTGTCGGGCAGGTACGGCGGCCGCCCTGATGACCAAAACTACAACATGTCCACAGAGACATACGTCCTACCCGAGGAGTGTGCCTTGATGAAAACTCTGAGTGGCGAGGAAGACACAGACAAAACAAAGGCAATAATGTTCATTTCGGGAGAGGATGGTCCTGTGGATTACTACATTGAGGTCCAAATACTCGGTGAGTAGTTTTCAAACACAAACATGCTTGGCAGAAGTAGAAGGGTAATATGTGTGACAGATAAAGTGTAATTATCTTGTCTATAATGATATCAATAAACTAGCATGTACATATTGTATTATAATATTTGGTGATATCTTTTACTTNAGGTACGGCGGCCGCCCTGATGACCAAAACTACAACATGTCCACAGAGACATACGTCCTACCCGTGTGTGCCTTGATGAAAACTCTGAGTGGCGAGGAAGACACAGACAAAACAAAGGCAATAATGTTCATTTCGGGAGAGGATGGTCCTGTGGATTACTACATTGAGGTCCAAATACTCGGTGAGTAGTTTTCAAACACAAACATGCTTGGCAGAAGTAGAAGGGTAATATGTGTGACAGATAAAGTGTAATTATCTTGTCTATAATGATATCAATAAACTAGCATGTACATATTGTATTATAATATTTGGTGATATCTTTTACTTCATTGTGCTGTTAGGGAAAAGTTTACCTGGTGTCTGTTTGAATAGGTCGAGTTTGAATGTTGGTATGTTTTAGTGTGATATTTATAGAAGCTTAAGGTGCCTTATGCTGTAATGGCCCAGTTTGCAATGTGAAGTTTGCTAGTTTGTTTCTTTATCCACAACCGTCATTAGTAAAATAGTGTACTTGTGAAGTTGAGCATGTATTGCGATATTTGGTATGTTAACACTTCTCAGGTATATTATAAATGTCTCTTTTTTCAGGACCAGTGACTGAGTGTGGCAGTGAGAAAAGAACCAACATGAATTCGAAGGAGCCACACGCCACTGACTTCTATGCCTACCAGATGGAATGGGCCCGTTTGGGCTGTGTCTTCTGGAGCGAGATGCATGAAGCCTGGAGGCCAGACGGCTGCTCGGTGCGTACAGGCTGCGTCTCCATGTTTTAGGACAACTTCGTTAATTACAATCATGGAATTTCATCTGTGTTGGTAGTTACATGTTTAAAGTTAAAACTTTTGGCCCAACACAAAAAAATTCTCTCACCTAGAGCTTTCGACCAGTCACTCTGGTCTTCCTCAGTAAACTGACCCAGTGAAGCTTGTCACGTGGCTTCTTTGAAGTGTGACGTCAACACTGGGTCAAAGGTATCTGGTAGACGATGTCGGCCCCCGTCGCGGTTCAATGAAGGGTGATGGGCCCTGATGTATATCGTTAATTACAATTGTTAAACTATCACATGTACCTGTGGTAAATACCCAGCAGATACCACATGTAAAGATGACAAATAATAGATAAAAATATTAATTAATAGCTATGATTCCTAGTTGTTTTCCAAATATAAAGAAGTAGTGTTCAGACTTTGGTAAATGTGTTTTTGATAACATGTCTCTTTACTGCTTTTCACAGATAAGCAAGCAGTCCACCATTACCAGCACTGTCTGTCACTGCAACCATCTGACAGCCTTCGGGAGTGACTTCGCCACACCGCCTAACACCATCGTGTTCGAGGCGTTGAACTTCAGGGATCTTGTAGACAACGGTACCGTTGTAGCAACCATCATTGTGGTGCTCTGTTTCTACTTACTCGCATCAGTGGTGATCAAGATTGCTGAGCGTACAGGAATAAGGAAGGTAAGTGGGCATCATCAGTTATCCATATCAGGCCAACAGAAGTGACCATTTGTAATGTCAATAAGTCTTTGCTCTGTGGACTTGTTATTTCTAATGGATCTTCTAGTATTTGAACATGTTTCGTCAGCCTTAAAGTTTGTTTAATATTTATCAATTCATGGGTTTGGTAGTGAAAGCCAGGCCTGTCCAACGAGGCACTGTCATCAAAACGATCTAGCTTATTTGCAGTGTATCTGCAGTACCTACAGTAATTTTTTATTCGTCAGTAGGATTATGATATAGTATCTACTGTGAGAGGTCAAGGTCAATATGTAGGTGAACATTCATATTCTATCTCATCATACACTGTTGCAGTTAAATGGAGCTGTAAGGTTGGACAACCTTCAGGACAACTTCCGATACCGCCTCCTTATCTGGACAGGTGCAGCTAAGCATGCTGGGACGGAGTCGATTGTAGCCTTCAACCTGTTAGGAGATGCAGAAAATTCTGGTGTGAGACTTGTTGACATCACAGAAAAGGTTAGACCATCAAATAAGTAGGCACTGACCATGCACTCCTATTGCCATTTCATCACCCAACATTACTCTGCAGATGTTTTAACTTACGGCATGTCCTAACAGGTGGAATTTCTGTTGCTGCTTAGGTTTTCACCCGAACCAGCCAGGTTACCCTTACCTTCAGCACAGCAGAACAGCTTGGTAAGGTGGAGCTGCTGCAGCTCATGCACGACAACAGTGGGGAGGGCAGCCGCGCATCGTGGAACGTGGACCGAGCAGCCGTAAAGGATCTCACCACAGGCAAACTGTGAGTCCAGCCAAGCGCTGTCTAGATTCATCAAAGCACAATCATGGGAGTTAGTAGAAGATTCATCAATTAGTGACTGTTTTTTTAAAAGTAGAAACACAATGGCTTCTGTGTGGTGTAGTTGTAGAGCATCCGACTGTCAAGTAAGGCGAACCCAGGTTCAATCCCCAGGGTTGGACCCAGACATGTTCGGACATGCCCCCCAGACGTTGTGCCTCCTCAGAGGAATCCTGGGCCATACTAGGGTTTAGATTGGCGTTAGGAAGGGCATCCATCAGTAAAAACTCTTGCTTCAAAAAGACTTGCACTTGAGGCAAGCACGTCTAACCCCCAGTTTTGGGAGAAAAAACTCCAAATTTTAGATATCAACTATACATCTTGATCAGGAAGTGACCTAGACTAGCGAGAACAGAAGATGCTGATAATTGTTTGTACCTCAACACATCTAAGACCAAGTATGTGCACTTAAATGGAACAACTGTGAATCTCCTAAGACTCTCATTGACTCTGAAACTGGTCTGCAAGGATCGGAACTTCTGTCAGCAATGAATGACAGACTGTACTGGAGACAAACCTTCACTAGCTACACCTCATAGAGGAAGAATGAAGAAGAAGAAGAAGTACTAGTGTTTAAAACCCAACTTTTAAATGTCTTGATTTAGCAGAAGACAGCTGTTTACAAGCTGTCAACCTCTATTAACTCTTAACTTTCACACCATACAAGGATTTTTTTTCAGTCTTTTATCAGTCTCCAAACCTTACATCTAACAGAGTTCTATTTCTTTCTCTTGGAACTGCAGGTTTTATTTCTTCTGCAACGAGTGGCTTGCAGCCGACCGCGGGGACGGGCAGGTCGTAAAGACCTTTCCTGTCGCCTCTGAGGAGGACCTGCAATCCTTCGGGTTCCTGTTCCCGGCAAGTCTGTGGTCTACCCTGGTAGACGAACATCTATTTCTGTCCGTCGCTTTCATGCCTGAAGGTATCATCGATTTTGCTTTTTCAAGTTAACTGTATTTTATCTTAACTGAACTGTGGGAGTATATATAGTAATACTATGTCTAAAATTTCCCTCATATTATACATGATGAATAATTGTCTGTTGTTGGCTGCATTTGATCTAGAGTGTTGCGTTCATTCTCTATCATTAAGACCGACTTGTCTGAATGAAAAATGTCCCCCGTTATGTTTCCTTTACAGATAGCATGTTCACCCGCATCGAGAGGCTTGGCTGCTGCCTGAGTTTCTTCGCTGTGTCCATGGTATGCAGTGCCATGTGGCTGAGGGACGAAGCAGAAACCGAGGTCGTGCAGGTCTTCAGCCTGGGGCCGTTCTCCTTCACCTTGAACGGAGTCTTCACGGGGTTCATGGCCAGCATCACCTGCCTTCCCGTTGTCCTGGCAATAGTCCTGCTGTTCCAGTACAGCCGGCCGAGCGGCAGGGGCGACCGCCGGGTCCGAGACGTGGAGACTGGCGGCCCAGCAGAGGCACCCACACACGAGGGTCCAGCCAAGGGCCTGCCACACTGGTGCAAGTACGTGGCCTGGATGCTGGTGGTGATGTCTTTTCTGTTGCCAGCTGTCTCACCATGCTGTACAGCTTGGACTGGGGCAGGGACAAGACTGAGAGTTGGCTGACTGTGTTCGTCATCACCTTTCTGGTGGACATCTTCCTTCTACAGCCACCGAAGGTAAGGGTATGCTCTATGTGGAATTGTCTACATGTAGATGGTTATAAGTAAAAACTGTGGAAGTTCAATATCATGATGATTATATGGTTGACATATTTTCAATAAGTCACTAAGTCACTTGTTAACACCATTCAACTTAGGATACCGGGTGAACAATACCGTGATTACAATCATGTTTGTTACAGTTACCATGTGTTTACTGATTGCAGTTATTTTTTTCACACATTGACGTTCCTGCGACCTACCAATAGCATGCAAGCACTATGTAGTTTCATGTGGTATTTGGTCACCAAGGCAATCACTTAGCTAGTTTAAAACCTGACCTACGACATGCTCAATACATGTACAAGCCACATCCTAAGGATGATATAACCATCTTAATTGCTCAAAAAAAATAATAATCAACTTTTATCTTGCAGATATTTGTTTTGCCATCTTGACGTCATCCTTTCGCAAGAGACAAGCCATTGAGAAGATTTTGAAGAGAAACGAACCCCGTTTGGATGGAAGCCAATGCTGTGTCTGGCTTCAACTGTAAGTTTCTCATATACATGTAATTCCATCAGGCCATAAGACAAGTTATACACGTGTATATCGATATCCCCCACAGTGAATAAAATGTAACTTAACAGATTTATCTTTTAAGATACATCACTTAAAACAATGTAAATTATGATAAAAAACGCTATTTCTGTGAAGTGTGAGCATACCCGCAGGCACGGTTTTGTGAACTGATCACTCGGCAATCATTTCCATTTGTGGTGTTGCAACTTTCCTAACCAATACAGACCATACTCAGACTTAATTAATATTTTTCATGCTTAATACAGGTGATGCATTTCGCATGAGGAGAAAGATGGAGCGACAGTCAATGACGTCCCTTATCAACATCAAACAAGCCAGGAGGAAGAAACATAGGGAAAAAAGATTTTGGGAAATCTTTCGGGACATTATGTGTTTTTTGCTGTTATGTGCTGCTTGTCCTCGGCATCTCCAACGAACACCACAACATCACCCAGGCCTTCTATCAGACACAGAGCACAACCAACACCTTTGTGCAGTCCTTGGATGAGGTAAGTATATTACAGGGCCTTACATTGGTGTCAGTTCACTAAATCATTGCATTGGTCAGTCCTCTCAACCCAGTGAAAAAACCTTTATGTTTTAGTCATGTTGACACAGGTAACAACAAATTCTTCATGCCAAAAAGTCATTCTTTAGATCATTAAAGTTATTCTCGTGAAATTATTCTTCTCTAAAGTAAAAATGTATCACGGAATTTGCGCAATTTTTTTTTAATTTGCATCTAGTTGTTAGTTTTATTCACAATCATTGTGGTTTGAACTACTCTGTAAAACTGTATGACTTACTAAACGTAAAACAAGAAATGGTATAAGTGGATAATTCCAGACAATATGTGCCATCGTTTGTAAAAGCATGGATAACGTACATCTGAACCACAAATATTACATGTTTATCTTAAATTTGTCAATATTTCTATAGTGCACAAGTAGCTTAGAGAAAAACAATACCACTTTCACACTGAACGGAGAAAATCAATGAAAAAGTTATGAAGGGTGTGAATAACTTTTTCCTTTCCTCTATTTCTAGATGAGATTTAGAACATGAATCCACACGTGCACAATGAAGATTTGTCACACTAGACAATTGTCATTTTTGTACAGTAAGATCATTAGACTGTATTTCTCCACAGGTCAACGATGCTGATGCCTTCTGGTCCTGGCTGAACGGGACCGCTCTGGAGAACTTCTACCTGGACACTTCCTACAATGGCCACAAGCTTCGCTGGCAGGAGAAGGGCTTCACAGCAGACATGCAGTCGGTCCTGGTCGCCCCGCCTAGCATGATCCAAGCCCGAGTAAAGCCAGGTAGGTGGAACCACCTTGCATGGAACTTATGCTATGGGCTTACATAGCATGTCACAGATGTAATTCTACATGCAGTAGAGGAAACCTTAAGTTGTAGTGAAAAGTTATATTTGAGAAATTCAAAGGATCATTATGATCTAAAGTTAAGGGAATGCCAAAATAGCAAACCGGTAAACTGCTATTTGTGACTGACTGTTATTCATTTCCATCTCCTGCCATCACAGGGCTGTGCACGCTGCCAGCAGCAATATTAATGCAGCAGTGGTTTGATGAATGTTCATCAGGGTACGATGGAACCAACACCAAAGGGAGACCGGGGGCGTTTCAAAGGGGTTGGGAAAGAGTCATGAATACGTCAGCGATCGAGTCAGAAGCCCCTGGATGGACCCACCTCCCCAGTGGAAACCCCAGTCTCCCCATCTACGGTAGGACTACGCAGTACTGGGGAGACGGCTTTGGTCTGAACCTGGGAAAATCTGCAGACGAGATGCGAAGCAACCTAGCAGAGCTAAAGGCCAACCGTTGGATCGACAAGCGGACGAGGGCCATCTTCTTAGAGGCGTTGCTCTACGACGGAAACCTGGATCTGTTTACATCGCTGACGATGGTGTTTGAATTCTCCGAGACGGCCGGAGTTTTCACCCATCATCGCGTGCAGGCCTTCCGACTTCATCAACGGCCGGGGACAATCGGGTACATCTACGTCCTGCTGGAAATCATTTACGTCATCGTTCTCCTCTACACACTGTGGAAAGAGACGAAAACTGCACAAACAAACGGTTGGGCATACCTGAGGGAGCCATGGAACATTGTCGAAAGCTTTAATTTCTTCTTGGCATTCACTGTCATCGCCCTGTACAGCTTCAAGAGAACCTATAGCTACAAGGCTCTGGCAGCGATCAATGCCGGGAAAGGTGTGTTTCACATGTATGCAAATAAATCATACTTATTATGTTGAAGCGTGGCTTTAACATGCTCACCATTTGGAGACATGTCAACATTCTCAGGCTGATTAGAAGGTAATTATTTAACACTGTACTAATTATATGCAACATGTTGTTCTTTAAAAGATGAGGTCCACCATTTCCGATCTGCGGTGAACGTAAGCCTGGTTTATGGCTGGTTCCTGGCCTTCCTGACGTTTGTCAACATGTTGAAGTTCCTCCGGCTGCTGAGGTTCAACCCATACCTCGCCAAGCTGATGTCCGTGCTCCGAGGGATGTCGGTGGAGTTCGCTTACTTCACCCTCTACCTCTTTCTCTACCAGGCAGCATTCGGCGTCTGTGCTAATCTCATGTTCGGCCATACGGTGACCGAGTACAGGTAAGAAAACGTTTCTGTCAAATAGATGATATCTCTTTTAAAAAGTCATTTTTTTAAATTTTTTTAGTACTTCAGTGAGGACAGAGAACTTATGACCGCTTCAATGTCAGGTAATGAGTACAACGATTTTAAATCGTTAAAACTTTTAATTTGTTTTTTCAGCACCATCGGCAAATCGTTCTCCACCTTGTTGCAGATGTCTCTTGGACACTTCTATTACTACGAGCTGCGGGAGGCAGCCCCCATCTTCGGCCCCATCTTCTACTTTACTTTCATCTGCATAATCTTCCTGGTGCTGATGAACATCGCCGTTGCGATCATCAACAGCGGCCTTCCCAATGTGCGGAAACACATCATGTCTGAGGAGGAGCAGTACTTCATCCAGGGGTTGTGGGAACACTTCACGGCCTTATTCGGCTTCTGGAAGGTGCCAGTCACAGGTATAGTAGTCCCGGTTGTAACAGACAACACAACCAACCACGAATTCCTTTAATGTCTTACTATTTGTAAGCTACATCTACTTTGCAAAACATTTTAGTACAAGATATGGAACTGGGACTTGAACCCAGGATCTTTACTCCGATTCCATCACTTAGCTGTAATGCATTTGGGCAGGGGTAAGGACCAACGATAGTTCCTGTCCTGCCCATAGACCCCCCCCCTGAATCCCTTTGTTTCCTCTGCCCCAGTTTTACTTTGTTTACTCAAAACAATTGGTTTCCCTCCATTCACATTCAGTGTAAATTACGTTTGCTGTATAATTTACATTTGTTATCTCCTTTTATGATAATGATAATAATGATGAATGGTTTATTTGACATTACACTCAAATACATCATACTCGCAGTCCTAAGACTGAATTATGGTGATAATACATAGATTACTAATGAATTATACAATATATAACTAAAAGTTAAAAGAAATAATTACACAAAAAATTATCAAACTTATTGCACTCAAACACACAACTACAATTTATGTACAGTAAAAGTATGCAAAATATAATAAAAACTGGTACAATGCATTAGTTAAGAGCTGGAGGTTCGTGCACTATATCAATCCAAATCAAGTTATCAAAATTGATAACAAAATTTCTATCATTTATATAGGATTTGTAAATGTAAGAAATGGGGATTTGAAGAGATATAGAGTGTTAACTTAGTGCCCTGCTCGTTCAGAACTGACAGAAGGGTTGTCATGTAGGGGATATGACTTTTTTGGTATCTGTTCGTACGTGCATTAATAAGTCAAGTAGATGCGATGATCGTGTTGTTTTGGCACTGACCTCACTGCGGTACGGGGGTATTTCTTATACTAACTGTTCATCAAATTTTGGTTGCTTTGCATGTTTGCCATCATAATTAGTAATTGTCAGTATACATATGTTCTCAGCACGAGGGAGGTCCCAGAATAGGAATCTGGCCTCGCCTGGATGTTTTTTTTATCATCATAATTGTAAATGTTGTTATAAAATTATTACTTTTAAATGTGAATAAACTCATAAAGAAAACTGACTGAAACATTTTCATCGACACAGATAACAACTCATTGGACACTCTACATGACAGCCTGGTCGAGGTGGAGATTAAAGTGGAGAAACTGTGGCTGAAGAGACAGTTGCACTTCAACCTTAAGTAAGTACGAAAATGGTACATGAGCATGATCTTTCTAGCAGAGTAACTGAAACAACCTTGAAACTTTATAGATAGTTGTTGAACATTAACACTCAACATACAAGATTTTTAGAAACTCAAACACCTGTATCCTCACAGTATGAAGGACGCAGACCTCCCCACAGAGCCTGAGTTTGTTCCGACTGTCAAAGATGTCCCCGACGCTACAGTGGAACTTCATGTCCTCAAAGGAGGCCGCCGCATCATCGAAATCCGTCCTTCATCCCCAATCAACTGCACAGCTGACGGCAGTCAAGCGATCTGCTCCGACAGCAAGACACCAGTAGTGGCGGCATCCGGAGGCCCGCCAAAAAACACCCAGCTAAGTCACCAAACCAAGCAAGCCATAAAAGTAAAGTCCATCCCATGTAAGAAGGAAAAAGGTTGCAAGACGTCGGCCAAGAGAGCTCAAACTGCTCTGAATCAAGTGGGGTGGCGAAGTCTCAACTTGAGCGCTTGTGACATGGCGGTTCTGACAAGAGACGAGATGCTGACAGACGACCACATCCAGGCTGCCCAGAGGCTGCTCCACCACCAGTACCCGGCACTCCAAGGCCTTGAAGCCCCTACAGTTGGTCTCTGTGAGGACGGGTTTGCCAAGATGACTGGAAAGGGGCTACAAATCCACCACAATAACAGAAAGCACTGGGTTCTGTCCTGTTACACAGACGGACAGGTGTGCCTGTATGACAGCCTCGGCGCCGATATGACCACATCTCTGCAGGTCCAGCTTTACCAGTCCTACGCCACGTTTGCCGACCAAGAGAGTAACGTCCTGACCATCATCCTACCAGAGGTACATCGCAGAGGGGCGAGACGTGAGCAGCATTGCGTATGACGACAGGAAGATGAGGAGCCATTTGGCGATGTGTTTCAAACAAGGGAGGCTCGCACCTTTCCCTCGTCTGACCAGCCAGCAGAGAAAGAAAGTTGGTCTAACCAGAGTCAGCAGAATCTCACTGGTTTGCCACTGCAAGCAGGAGGAGCGCCTGGGAAGGATGGAGAGGTGCGTGGCATGCCAGAGGATCATTCACGTCAGCTGCCTGCCATTCAGCCCTCCCAGTGATGACACGTGGGTATGCGGAGACTGCGCGTATTGGTAATTTACACGTAGACTTGCCCTATTTCAGCATCTCCCCAGCTGCCCCCTGTACGAGGACGCACGACAAATACTTGCCACCGAAGAACGTCGCCTGACAGATCGACCCCTCTCTATATAGCTATACCAACATCCTTCCCAATGGATATCCATGTCACGACCCTCTTACAGATCAAAACCTTTTGGCTGCTCTTCACACTTACATTTCATCAACGAACCGTTTCTAACTTTAAGTCCTTCCATCTATTCCTGCAATACTGTAAATATATAAATATTATATATCTGAATGACCTCTGGCCTCCTACCATACTAAGATATATTGTTACTTGTTTATACTATCATTTGCCTAGGTTATGGAATGTATGTACTACTATGTGTAAGAGATTTCTGTGTTTTGTGACTTTATTGTACTTTGATATGTGTACGTTTATGTATGTTTGTATTTCATAATGTGGGGCCCGACAACAGCTGCTAGGGCCTTCCACATTATTGCAATGTTGGCAATTTAAATAAATAAATTTCAGTAAATGATATCTTGGCTTTGATAAGTACATTTCAGGTACACTGTTGCCGGTACCTTTACAGATACTTGAATGCTTTTAAAATGTTATTTTACAGTATCATGGTATGGCTATGTTTAACTTGTTTTACATTTTGTATATAATATGTGAGACTGTTTTAAACTATTTGTAAATAGCAAGACGTTTCAGGACTTGGTGTGTTAAAATTTTATAGTATTCAAAATGACAGAAAGAATGCTGTCATGGCTTGCCTAAATGAAGGACAGTTGATACATCACTAAATATATCACTATGCTGCATCATGACTAAATTACTAAGAACATGTCACTTGTGTCATTTTGATAGGAGTTAATTAGGTTTTGACCAATAGAAAAGCCATTTCTTGTAAAGTATTACTTGTGTATAGGATGTAAATTTGAATAGCTGGTGGAAACAGAAAATATGTGCTTATGTTCGCAGGAAAAAGAGGTATTTATGAGGTAGCTTTTTGTAAATACTATGGCAAGTCTTTGATTGAAAATAGAATTAAAAAAAACTTTTTTGTAGTAAACAACTAGGAATTGGTGAGGATGAATTGGCCATCCGACAATTTTCAAATAGGACTTTGTTGCAACATTTAAATGTGGGTTTTAGCAATACCTTACCAGAGCTGGAAATGCCAAAAATTCAAATATCAATTATCTCATACTGTAAGTCAGGAAAAAAAAATTAATAGAAGACGTTTATTTCTTAGAATGTGTAATAAGGTGTAATAACACTCAAGGTTATTAAACATTGAAGAACAGTCATCATCAATAAATAAATCATCATCATAAATCATTTCCTGAGTCACAATGAAGTAGCGGTCTGTGAAACTTGTGGTGCCATTACATATTTGTACTGAATAAGGGATTGGGCTTTTTTTGTATCAATCAGTCCTAGTAGTGATAGTGATAGTATAACAACTGCCTCAGAGTAGAGACTTGCCTGTTTTCCTCTTTAGAAGTAAAATCTCAGTTTTTTCAGTACTTGTAGGAAGATGTTTCAGAATCTGTACATAGTTTTTCAATGTGCAGGCGAAACTTCTGGGTTTCCCCTTGTATTCTGACGGGGCTTTCCCTGTTTTGCTTCCTGGTCATATAAAACTTAGGATTAGTGCCCGCTCTTTGCAAATTGAAAAAGGTCGCCACTGTAACACACCAGCCAAAGAGAGACTGTGTCCCGCGTGTCATTAAGGCGTTGAAAACGAATTACATTTTATAATAGATTGCCCAACCTATGATGAAAACCGACGAAAATTGTTACAACATATTACATGTAAGACCAATATAACACTACCCCATACAAAGACAGAGATGAATGCTACCCAGTAATTTGTTTACATGGTATATATACACACCTTTCTTTTGTTATGAATTTATGAATGATTACCCGATGTTATTTATCTTCCCTTACTTTATCTCTGTTTATTATGTACACTGCATATGATTTGTTGTATGATTTCATGTATACTGAATAAAGGTGTTTAAAAAAAATAAAAAAAAATAACAAAGAACAGAGATATTATATATGTTACTATCATGTCCTGTCACAATTCAATGACAAAACGAGAAAATGTAATTAATTTCTGACACAATTTATTACTACATTGTATTAATAGAGTTAATTACTATAATTAGTGTCTCTCTTTTGTTATGCAGTGATTATGAAGCAGACCATATTCCTATTACAGATAATAGAACTGTTAGATATTCTCAACACCACCATATGTGTATGTTTACACCAAAAACTATGTATGTATATTTTGCCATACGTTGTACCCGCTACATCTGTTGCGCAATAAAGTTCTTCTTATCTGAATGAGCACGGTTTGTTTGTTTGACTTGGTTAACACAACGCTGGTGACAAAGGTCAAGCTCTCATGTTTCAGGGACACGGTTTGGTAAATGGACTAGCTTCACTAGTCTGTCAATGCTGATTCGTCCAACTTCTCTTCCTTCTCTGCTTCCTTCTTCAGTCTGTAAATGCTCTGATGTACCGTCCCACCTTGATGCTGTCTGCCTCCTTCCTATGTTCTTTAAGTCTGCATCCGAATGCCCCCCCTCTCTCTCAGCAGTGACAGACCACATCATGAGAAATAACTTTGTAATAGACTGGGACGGGACCAGAGTTATACGAGTTGTGTAAAAAGAGTCTCTTTACTCGGTGACTTACCAACCTGATTACACTATTAACGGGAATTCATACTGTGACTTGTAGCCACCAAGAGATATGCTTGGAGATTCTACGCCTCGCCTACTTCAGTTTTATTGGATCGGGCAATGTCGTAATTGATAAACACTTGTACCTGACCTACACTGACTCTGCTGTTTGTTGTGTGGATGAACACGACCTAATCGGAAATGCCAACAATATTACAATGAAGGTTACACAACAGCTGCGCCTGATCTTTACCTAACACTGATTACTGATAGATGAAAGACGTAAACACACAAGGCGACGTCAGCGGTCCAGTCACCTGTCACGGCGCACCTGTCTGTCTGTCCCCCGGACAGGTGTGCTCTGTGCACGTGTTCCAGGTAAAACAGGACTTCTCAGTACACGTGATCTCAGGTGAGAGAAAAGTCCAGTCTTGAGTCATCGCGGGATCAGGCACGCATGGGCGATGACGTCACATCCAGGAATACATTTGGTACATAAGTGCCATTACTCTTGGGTGGACTTAGATTAGATAAATCCTGCTAATACTTGTCTGAAAAGTGATCTCTACACTTAGTTCGATAGCCCATCGTGGTTTAGAGTGCTGACGGTCGTTTGAAGTTGCGGCTAGCGCCTAGTGCTCAAAAATTGGCCGCCGCCATACCTTCGCAATGGCGTAATCGCGAAGTTCATATTTGTACTAGGTCAACGTTCCCGGGTTCGCACTTTTCACACATACCATGCACTAATGGCAGATTTTATCGAATCCCTTGTGCCCCTTTTAAATGCAGGTTTATTCTCGCCTTGAATTCAGCAAAAATGCAAGACCCATAAGTTTATACTAACCACATAAACAGCATTACTATCACATAGTTCCCATCCCTATCTGCACTGTACCTGTATAAAAAACGCCTTTTTTTTACTTAAATGATGGCTCGTATCTGTAACCACCACTCCTTGTTACTTTTTTAGGGGGTAAAACATACTTGATGTAATAGTTGTTCTGCGGATGCTGTTTTTTGTAATTGGGTATGTGTCTTGTGTGTGGGCATGACGGGGGGGGGGTCTTTGTCTTTATCGGGTAGCTGGTTTACGTCAAAGGCATTTTCCACATTCAGTGATCCTTGTCTATCCTCACATTAAAGAGCAGATGTCAGTATAGAAAGGGTAGAATTTACTTTTAGCTATAGGTGCGTTTTCCGTTGGTTATTAGAAAAAGATTGTTTTGATTTTGGTAAATCACCTGCTGTGGTAATGATCTATGGATAAGAATTCAACCTTTTGTGTTTAAAGGTTGTGTTGTTCTCTTCACTGTAATATTGTTTGGTGTTTCCCAATTCGGTCGTGTTCATCATCACAAAGGAAGAAAAAAAAGGCAGACGTTAATGTAGTAATATAGTTTACATTCGTCTTTCGTCGGCTGTTAGACGGCTTTTCACCCTTTATCGTGGATCACGACAGTCTATTGATTTTTATTGACGTGTAGGATGTTTGTTCTATGAAGGTATTTAACTTCGTGAGGATCGTAAGTAAGTAAACAATTTATATGAAGGCAGATGGGGTGCGAGTGGCATTGGCATTGGCAGGCTGTTTAACGGTTGAAATCTGTGCCATTTTGAAGTTTTGTTATTGACGCGGTGTTAGAACACATCACGAAGAATAAACTTAAGACAGGCATGTGAGCCTCTGTGCCAATTCATCACAGAAAAAAAATAACACTTAAGTGTGGCAAGACGACAAAACCAACGTCTCGATAGAATATCGCAAAAGACTACAGTGCGGCACATAGTGACAGAAGGCATGCACACAACAGCCGATCCTTGCATTGCCTACAACTAGAGGCATATTGTAACTAATAATACAGGCATAATGTCAAGCCCCGTCACACATTCACAAATTTGGCCTCCCGAACACTAGCCGAACGCCTGCCAACCATGGTTAGTAGTAGGTCGGAGCAAAGTCCGCTAAGTTAGCTGGCATTCGGCGAATTCGGCTACGGTTCGGCTGCGCCAGCCGAATGTTTCAAAATGTTTAAAACATTCGTGGGGCGTTCGGGAGGTTCAATCACAGTTCGCTGGTTTTCGCTGGAAATCAGGACAACCTGAACGAGTCCAATGATGTCATCCAGAAAATGAACTTCCCATAGCCCCACCCACGCCGGCCACTCTCACGGCCCTGGGAGTCACTTCCTTGAACTAGAACACGAGCATGACCATAACTGGGAGGGGCAGTTATCACAATTCCCCGAAAATGTGACCTCTGCTCAAGCATGAAGGTAGGACAAGGGTTTATAAAGGACCACCTCGGGGCAGGGGGCAGTTAGGTAGACAGGTGTCTCAGACGAGAGACCGTTACTGCTCCGCATCGTGTCCCGTCGGCCCGTGTTTCGTGTCCCGTCGTCTCGTCATCGTCCTCCCGTCGTCTCGATATCCCGTTCAGTTTGCTCGTTATCGTCTCCCGTCGGCTCGGCATCGTCTTTCGTCGGCTCAACATCCTCTCTTGTCCGCTGTGCGTCAACTCCAATCGGCTCGGCATCGTCCTCTCGTCGGCTCGGCATAGCCTCCCGTCGGTACCGCTCTCACAGACGTCATGTTGGCAAAGTAAGCTGAACGTTATTTGTCACTTACCACGAAGTAGGGGACCCCTGGTCTGTTTCTTATAGTCCCTGATTCTGCAAATTTTCATTTCGGGACGGAGTTGAAAAATGGTTAAAAGGGAGTAGGAGTCTTCGGCTAGTGGTCGGGATGGCTGGGTGTAGGTTGGTCAGCATTCGGGCTTGGCTCGGCGAATGGGTCTGTAACGGTTAGGACACGGTCAGGGCGGAAGATAGGCATGGTCAGACCTCGGGCCTCGGGCTTCAGGCCTCGGGAACAAGCCTCCAGCGGCCCGGGTTTGGGGCTGATATATATATATATATATATATATATATATATATATATTCTATTAGGCCAAACCGTCTTAATTTTATAGATGACATCCTCTGAATACCCTCAAACTAGTGCGCGCGAATAAAAAAAATCTGGCCAAAAATAAAAATGATACTAAACCACAGAATACAAAGCTAGTATTGTGAATTTCCAGCAGTATACATAGACGACGTACGCGACAAGCCGGCACATGTTGTCTTTTTGCGTAATTTGTGAATCGGCACTGTACGTATGTACTGAGTTCTTATGTCGTGGAGCTTTGGTGCCATCGGTGCCATCCTCCAGGGTTATCACCGGCTTAGTATTGTCGCTAACTCCCATGGACTACCCAGGCTTAGAGCCAGGCCAAACGTGATCTTTTTTTAGAACAGTCGAAAATCAATGCGCTCGTCGATGTCATCCATAAGCTTAGGTCGGTCTGGCCTTTCTATACAAACCATCGGGAATGATTTTGCAAAAAAAAATAAGTATTTCGAAATAGTATAAGGATGATGATTTTACTCGAGCGGTGATTGTTTGCTAGAATTTTCATGAAGTTGTCTACTATCATGTAATAAGTTCATAGGTTATGATGATAACGAATGCCAGGTAAATAATGACTGCTGTAGGCGATAAATAGTAATACCATAGGCAAGTCCCAGTTTACTTTGCACACATACTGTTGTTATCACTCCCCCAATCTGTATAGAACTTTTCGTCGAATACAGCAAGGACATAAACCTGCTATCGCTTAGGTACCAGTAACTCCTGTTCGGTTCGCAGGGCTTACTCAATTAGTTTGTGAAATAGAGAAGCCCTAAATGTACCTGCCGTTTACTGTTCAGTGCTCCAGCTGTGTCATGAACTGTTAGTATAAGCTGTGTTTCTGTGGATCGCTTGGCTCTAAACCCAGTCCGTCAATATGTTGTGACTTTCTAAATGCTTCATGACCTGGCTATGGATGGTGTGTTTAAGTAGTTTACAGGACACACAGGTCAGTGAAACAGGTCACTCTGTAGTTGCTTGGGATCCGACCTCTTTATCTCCTTTTTTTGTCAATGGCGCAAATATTTGCATCCCTCCAATCTTTAGGTATTTCTGCGGTATGCAACGAGTGTTGAAAAACATTGGTTAACACAGGTGCGATTTTCAATATCTGTCATTTTGAGGAGCCAGAGCGATATTTGGTCTGATCCGCATACTTTAGATAGCCTGGTGTCCAGCCTTGTTAGCTTTAGTCCGCTACGCAAGATCCGCTCCCCGTTGGACACCAGGCTATACTTTAGAGGGATTGAGACATTTAAGCATTTTTCCACACCTTCAATAGGAACATCTATATCTTCCATGGGAGGGGTACAGGGATGTCCCAGAGATGGCATATCTGTGGTGTCGTCTTCGGTGAAAACGCTTTTAGATTGTCCTCTGAGTGTTTCTGCTTTTCCCCGCTGTCACTGATAAAGGTTAGCCTCCTGTGCAGGCTCCGGACGGGTGGAAGTTTTGACACTGCGTTTTGTAGAGTTTTTAACGCGTTGCTTTAATTATCGGCCATCCAACAACCAGCCCCGAGAAAAGGCATTCCCCACCTTTAGGGTTGCTACCTCGACAAGGTCTCTTCTCAGTCCTTTTATGTACAACTAGAATGTTTTAGGTGTGTCAACTATAGCTTCTCCCATGTCTGCGAGTGTGCTTGTTTTATGCTTTTCTATGTCTGTGAGTTACAAATTAAATCATCCCTGTTGACCTGAAATACACCGCCTCCTGGGCCAGTTTTTCTGTTTTCCGGTGTGCTATGTAACTTTGAAACTTTATTCACGCACCTAACTGCAGACAATGAGTCTGACTTGGCAGGCATTTACTTATTTATTTCATCTTAGGACGGCTGGGTAGCCCCATTCAGCTTACATTAGCTGTTTTCCAAGGGGACCCAGCAAAAATTACATTGTTACATACAGTAAGACAACATACAGTAAACATAAAAGTCCGATGCGTCAAAACAGAGTCATAGTCCTATACTCAAAGTCCTAGCCGTTCAAAGGTCAAAAACATGGAGGTCAGATGACACAATGATAATATAAAAGCGCTACGGAGTTAAATGTTGACAATCAAACTCGATTTACAATCAATAGTATAAATGTGATGAAATTGTATAGTCTTCTAAAAACAATACAAGTTGTATAAACATGTGAGGGGACGTCGGTATTTACAGATTGTCAGTTCAGGTAACGTTATTTGTTCAGCAGGTATGTCATGTATGCTATTGCAGACTTTTCGTGGCGAGTTGTTCGACAGATGGGAGTGTCCAGTTTGTTAGCGTTACGTGTGTCTCTGCCGGATATCTGTTTACGGGATGGGGGTAACCAGTCACTGAATTCAGAGTTGAGGAGTTTCTGAGCGAAGGTTAAGCATAGGTGAGTGCGTCGTTCTACCAAGGTGTTGAGGTCTAGTGTAGACAGTGCTGAGGTGTAGCCGGTGTGCTCTGTGCCGAGGATGCATCCTTTGTTTCTGTTGCCCCTCGAGTCTTGTTAATTGTGTGCAGGTTAGGGCCGGGTGCCACACAGGCGTATTCCATAGTGGGTCTGGCGTACGCGATGTAGACGGTTCTGAGGTCTTGTGTAGTGACTCCAAACCTCTTCAGTCGACGTAACAGGAACAGTTTATGTTTGCTGCGCTGTTGTCATGTTGTCTAATGTCTACCTATATTTGAGGTCACTCTGTATGGTCACACCCGTACCCAGAACTTTGATGTGAACAACTGTTGCTAGTGTCTGTCCGTCTATGAGAAGTAGTTCAGGAGTGGGTATAGTCCTAGCAAAACAGACGTGGAGTGCTTTGCACTTATGGGTGTTCATCTTCATTTTGTGTTTTCTGACCCAGGTGCTAAGGTTGTCATGAAGGTCTGTATACGTAATGAGTATTGTTGGTGGAGGAATCTGACCTGGGTGAGGTTCATGTCATCTACATATTTCCATCTGTTTTTTTTAATAGCTTCCTGGATGCACTGTTGATCAGTGCGAGGAAAACAATAGGACCCAGGATGGTTCCCTGTGCTACGCCGCAAGATAGATGTTGCCAGTCAGAAACTTGGCCATGGTAGCGCACACGCTGTCGTCTGTTGGACATAAAACAACTTGTTATTTCCTGAGACTATGTAGTTGTCAGGAAATATTTCACTGTTTGCTATGTCTTATTGAGCCACGATTCTGTACCTGCTACTATGTCTGGTTTGCAAGTGTCGAGTACAGCTCAGCTTCTTTGTTTCCCACGCTCTGACAGTTCAACATAAAAAGTTTATTTTGGATATTTTGCGACTATGACCCCTAATGTGAGTATTGCCCTGCTTTTTAAGTGGAGTGGATGTGGACATTGAGATGTCACCTGGTAAACTTGAGTTAGTTCAGTTCAGCTTGTGTTAGAGCATAGTGTATTAAAAGAATTTACTGAGTGGAAAGTATAATCAGTGATATCAAACATAGCTGACGCAAAGTATAAGACACAACGGTGACGATGGTTTCTTCTGATTTCAGGTTCATCCTGGTGTTCTTCGCCGCGGTTGCCATGGCGCCGCTGGTTGTCATGGTTACCGGCCAGAGCCCTACAGAAGAAGAACTGCTGCTGGCGGTCTCCCAGGCAGCAGCAGAAAATGCAGCAGTCTCCGCAGGTGAGTGTTGTATCTAGCACCGTGCTTTGGCACGGTCCACACTTATCCAAAACCGTGCCTATTGCCAGGGCAAGTACGCAGACGAGCTCCTTGGCTCCAGGTCCAACATGTCCCAAAGTAAGTCCCTAGGCAGCCCCATCTCCATCCGATGTGTTTTGTCGTGTTCTGGCCCTAAGAACAGTCTGGCATCCAGGTAGTGGACTCCGCCGTGGTTTATTTTCGTGGTAACATATATGATGCCGCAAAAGCCTTGGATAGAACCTCCATCATTCAAACCTGTTATCTGTTGTCTCTCCAGACAATGGTCCAATAGCATATCATAAGTAGCAAAGTTGACGAAACTGAGGTTTCAGCTTCAGTAGTCTCAGACTACATCTGTGACTGAGCTTACCCCGTGTGCCCTCCAGATGCTGAACTAGAGGAAAGTTCGCTCTCCGGAGCTCTGAACGCGCTGGGCAGGGTACATCGCTCCACCCCGATGGCCATGGAGCTCAGCAGGTGTGCCACTGTCTTGGAGAATGTGGCAAAGTACTTCATAGACCGGTAAGGCATTACCGTATCTTGAACCGTGCCTATCTAGTTTTATGCCCGAATGGGTTAGGATTAGGATTAGGCAAAGTTCTGGATAGGCTCTGCGTATCAAAGAACGTACTAGATTTGCCCTAGGCACGGTTCTGGATACATGTGGACCGTGCTGGTTATGAACGCGTGGACTATCTAGAACCGTGCCCGAGAAACGACAAACGTTCCTGATTTATTACTTGACATAGACCTTTCAAGGATACCATTGCATGCTTAAGGGGGTGCGGGGTACTATGGGTAGCTCAAGGCCGCAGAACACAGTATTTATGGGCGACGAGGGTATGACGCGGCTATAGAAAGTAGTGCAGACAAACCTCTTGAATCCTGGCTAGAGTGACTTATGTGAGAGGTTGCCACGAGCAAACTGCGCTGTGTGGTATAAAAAGGTATCAGCTTGTACACTGTGTGATTTCGAAAATGAAGATTTACCTGTTCGTGTATAAATGCGCGGCATTATGCAACCGCGTTTCGGGGTGAGCCGGCTGCAGTTCCGTTGCCCCCGGTAGAGGGCCAAGTCAAAGTGGTCGTTATTATGTTAAAAACATATTTTTTTTTTGGTTTTCCGTTATTTTGAAGAATATACTCTTTAAGTCAACATATTAGTTAACCGTGATTTTCTAGTGCACTCTACTATATTTTTTTCCGCGTCGAAGTAAGTCACCTCGGGGTGCTTAACTATGGGAGTCCCCGTAGGGCGAAAACTGTGTTGCCACCTCAACAAGTGAACTCAGTTTTTTTTCCAAGCGCATTGGATTCGTTATTTACAGAAATCTTTGATTTTTAGTTCCGGTAGCACACGCTACACTATAGAAGCGCTGTCCGCCATCGACTCCCAGGACGTGACAAGTGTTTGTGACGACACCTCCATGATGCCGATCACGTGCCCTACACCAGCCGTCCCAGAGTTCCGTTCGGCAAACGGCCGTTGTAACAACCGGAACCACCCCCTGTGGGGAAGTAGTGAGCAACCCTTTAGAAGGCTGCTGCAGCCAGAATACGGCGACGGTATGTAGATTTTAATCCTATTACATCACTCTTCTATATAGCAGCCCTTCCTCTAGTCAGTCCCCTAGCCTGACTAAATCACGCTTCTAGCAGCTCTTCCTTGGGGCAAGCCCCTTTTAATCTATCGTACAGTTTTGTGAAGAAACCCCGAAGTAGAACCAAATGTTCGGTAATTGGGCCTTCGACTAACCTTGCTCACGTACGATTCTGTATATTTTTTACGTGTTCAGACCCGTGCCTGATCTTAAGTTAAACCCATTCATGCAAAGAACAAGACAGACACGGTTCTGGATACAAAATCTGCACTAATATCGCTTACTGTGTTTCATCAGGTCTCATGACACCTCGGACCACTGGACATGACGGCGCCCCCCTCCCCAGCGCGCGGCTGGTCAGCACGACCATGCACGAGGACCTGCGGAAATCCAGCCCGGTCAACACCCACATGGTCATGCAGTTCGGACAGTTCCTGGACCACGACATCACTCTCACCCCCAACTTTCAGGAAGAAGGTTCGTGAAAACATAAAATGCACCTCTATCAAGTGTTTTAACACTGTTTTTAACACGCACACACACACACACACACACACACACACACACACACACACAAAACAAACATATGATTATTATAATATAATTATTCGGATCATGTGGACAGTTTAGTTGCCCCGACGGCAGGACAGACTGCTATGGGACCGGTGAGGTGAGGTGAGGTCCGGTCTTGCCTGAAAGGGATTGGGCATACCATTCTATATGGACGCAGAGCATTACATTGGGTGAAAGATAGACGGTTGCATCCCTAGTCCCAGGTAAAAGTTTTAGTTATATTCCAACATGTAATCACAAGACGTGGTGACGGCACACTCAGTTTGTTTCAACTTATATTAATGCCCCCACCAACACATTGGACAATACAATACTAGTACTCATTTTCACCTGAGCGAAGTGAGCAAGGTCGTGTAAAGTGGGCACATGATAGGTGTCATGGCAGGACTCGAACCAGGAACCTCTTGGTTCCGAGTCGAGCACTCTGCCGCTACGTACACGACCCCACAGGTAAAAGTTGCTCGGCTGGGATGTTCCAATACGCACCATATTTCACCTCATATGTCTGCTTTCGAACGCGAAGGTCTCGTCTGTACCTGTGGTACCGATTGCGAAAAGGAAGAACGCTGTTTCAACATCAACATCCCTTCTGACGACCCTGACTTCGCCGCTGAGAGCCGCTGCTTGCCGTTCGCTCGCTCCCGATCCTGTCCGAACGAAGGGTGCCACATGGGCCGCCGGCAGCAGCTGAACCAGCTCACCGCCTTCGTGGACGCCTCCAACGTCTACGGCTCCTCGGACGAAGAGATAGAAGAGCTCAGAGAACACACTGTTGGTAAGTAATACACGGACTCACGTCGCTGCTTTCTGGTATGAATTTCTCCATCCCTCTAATAGCTGCCGAGTCACTCTCGTCCTGATCTTGTTTTATTTTGCAGGTCAGGACAAAAGTGATTCGGTCGCTCTAATGTGGATGGATACCAGACAATTACAAATAATGACCTACATCACTATCAGTTCTAGGCCAGTGTTGTTGTATTCAGAACAGTGTTTTATCCATATCCATGCTATCTATGTCACGGGTCTCGATAGTCCACGGGTATCCAGAACCGTGCCTGATTCTAACCTCATACCCGCTCAGACATACATCATGTAGAAGTAGATAGGCACGGTTCTAGATACAATAGAGTTGGTACGCACTGTTGACACTTGATCTACTTTGTTGTAAAACGCTCTGCAGGTTCGAAACACGTTACATGTCCGACAGGCTACCAACGCTTCCATCAAAAATGCTTTAAGGCCTTCCCCACATCCAAAGACCGAACCTGGCTTCTGAAGGCCTGCATGGAAGACGACGGTTTTCTGGCCATGCCGAAAGACGCCGCCACTAACGCGTTCCTGGTCCAGCTGAAGGATGCGGTTCGAAATGACGTCATCTTCTACATCGGACTGGATGATGAAACCACCGAAGGACAGTGGCGCTTTGCTGACGGAACCAGATTGGGTAACAGTTCCAGTAATCTCTTGCTTCATGATTGTTCTTCATTGTTTCAATCTTGCTATTCTGCTATACTGCTATTATTATACTGGGAAGACTGTAGAATGTCAATGACTGGACCTTACTCTACAATTGAGTTCTAATAAGACATCACTAGTGTAAAGTAAGACAGAGTTAATGAGACTTTGTATGAGGAGACGTGTTGCTCTAACCACTTCCTGTTGCAAACTTTACGTCCTTTCCACAGGTTCCTACAACAACTGGAACTCAGGAGAACCAAGCAATTCAGCGAGTAAAGACTGCGTGGTTTTGCTGCCAGGAGTGGGAGGCAAGTGGAGCGTCAGAAGTTGCTCCAGCGGGTATTTCATCTGCCAAGCTCGGCCAATCCCATCCGGTAAGTTTCCACAACTTCTTTGATCTCCTGGAAGGTTTATTCTATGCAAAACCGTGCCTATCTAGTTCTTTGCATGAATGGGTAAGAGTTAGGATCAGGCACGGTTCTTGATAGTCTCCGCGTATCCGATGGCGCAGATGTGCGCCAGGCATGGTCCTGGGTACGCGTGGATAATACCGGACCGTGCCCGGGTACGGTCCTGGCAGCCATATCTCACAGAACTGAACATGCACGGAACCTCATCGTGTAATGGAAAGTATCATTCTTGTTTTACAACCTATACTATTATATCGATGCAAGGAAGATACGCAGTGAATACATGTGATCCACTACAGTATAAAGCATTATTTTGGTACAATGTTGAACATCAGATCACGGTGGTAAAATCTGGGCTGCAAAGTTCCCACATGTCATAGAACCCGAACTGTGTTCGATCATGGTCGATCTGGGCAATTCGAACCGAACCCGCGTTCTATTTCGGGGTCACCTGCGGTCATTTACAGTAAAGCGGCAAAACAAGCCCTTCTGCCTCTGTGCATTGTAACAGATAAAAAACAACACTTTTCTACAGATACAAACAGTTTCCTGGACAGTACATGTCCGCGATAATTTTTTGTGGATCTGTAACATGTAGCGAAGCTACTGTCGTATCCTTGGGTGACCTTGAATACTGTAATGATTCTTTACACCAGTATGAATAACACAATGCAGACTTTTGGTCGACATGACTGCAAGCATGGAGAGTCAAGCATACCCCATTCACGGCTCAAAATGACCGTTACGGTTGTCCCGAAAATCGTGTTTTAGGGATTTTTTAAAAAATGGCCTCAATTTTGAATTATGGGTAATTTAGTGCGAAAAATGTGAAAAAAAATCATTTTTTCACCAACATGTCGACAAAAACTAGACTTCAAATCAGAAATTAAAAAATCCCTAAAACACTAAAAATCCCTTTTTGATCTTATCCCAAGTCGTCGAAAAATATAGAAATCTGGGATCTGGGGTGATATACGTAGCCAGGTTAAAACGATGTTTGCCTAAAAACATGGCATGACTTGTGGTCGGAAACCCGAAAAAAAAAATCGTCTTTCGGGGCGAAATTTTGAAAAATCAATGATTTAACATAAACAGCTAATATTAATAGGATGTTAAGGCAATAAGTTCATTTTAATTTGACGAAATTTACCATTAAATCCTTTCTGTTTATTTTCAAGTGTTTTACTGGTAGTCCAAAATAGGCCAAAATAGCGTCTTGTAACCCGATACTTTTTAGAACGCGCCTAGCAATGGGAAAGAATACCGTAGTGACAGACCGCCGTGGATATTTTACTTTTGGTGAATTTAACGTGAATCACACTTGATGTGGCAAAAGAGGTGAACATTTTGCTTCCGTGTTATGCTAAAGAACGCATTGACCATAACTTACATCTTGACTATAGCCTATACGATATAGTACAGCCATGCCAATAATATTTATTTCTTTCTGTTTAGTAAACCGTGCCGACGTCTGTTGACTTGGCTCTATTGTTCAATGTTGCTGTCTGTTAAAACAACATGTGCTAACGGCCACGTATGAATAGAATAAAACAATGGCTCGACTCAGACACACGCTGCTAACTGTACATGACAATACGATAAATAAACATGTGACAACGAACAAAGAAATATCAAACGTTTTTGAATAATATACTGTACTTGAATAATCATACTATCGCAAGAAAACGGAGATTGATCCACACAATGTGGCCTTATTTAATCTAAAACTTCGTCAGACCTCCTTCGCGCGAAGACTTGATGGGCAGCATAAAGATTTCTGGAGGATCGCTGACACGCGAGTTTTTGCCGGCCACGTAACTCCCTCCGCGGCAAAATCCCCTATGCCGTAGCGAAATCACGTCTCAGCGCTTCCCCAAGTCAACTTCATGGCCGCTAAAGTCCGCAAAGGAGTTGTAACTTCCTCATTTCGGTTGAGAAGCGAAGCTACAACAAGTAAAATCATGTACATGTCGGCCATTTTGTTTGCTACCCGAAGTCTTCCGAACGCTCTAAATAAGGAAATCGTCGGAGATCTCAGCCACATCGCCCGCTGTCGGTCAGCGCTCGGGGCCGGCTCGGTGGAAATCGGAGGCTGTGACGTCATGAGTAGGTTCATTTGCATGGCCGCGGCTTGAATCGCGGCGGGATTTGAGCGGATCAAAACAAAGGGCATAGCGGATTGTTCATTGCGTGTTGTCTCCTTGTGAGAACTGTAGTTTTTTTTTCATTCTGCAAAATTGCTGATTGTGTAGTTTTTTTTTTATTCTGCAATCTTGACGGGTATTTAGAACACCGAATGCATTAAGTGTGCGGGAGGGCGTGATGTCGATCACCGGATCGTGAAAGACGGAATTTTTTTTCGCGTTGACGGTATTTTTTTTTCGCGAATTGGGTTGACCTGGGGTTGACGGTAAAAAATTTCGAGCTGGCTAAAGCCCTGCTGTTTACTTTTTTCGCAGGTGTCAATCTTGCCTTGGGACGACCCACGGCACAGATCAGCACGCATTCGGGGGGAGTGGCCGAACGGGCGGTGGACGGCAACACTGACTTGAACTTTGGTGGAGGCTCCTGCATCCACACTAGCAGGCAAAGCTACCCCTGGTGGCGTGTAGACCTGGGCACGTCACAAGCCATCGAAACAGTCGTCGTCTTCAACGGACAAAACTATTACAGCTATCTGAACAACTTCCGCGTTCACGTCGGGGACTCTCCCACCGTGACGTCCAACCCGCAATGCGGCGGGAACCACGGCGTGACATCAGGGCGACAGAAGATCACAGTGGACTGTGACGGTCGAAGGGGCCGATATGTGGGCATCTCACTCCCTACCACCCAATATCTCGTTCTATGTGAGGTTCAGGTTTATGGAGGTATGTGTTTCCCCGTACAATTGTGCCATATTTGTTTCTAGCTGTTTATGAAGTTCAACCTAGTTGTTCTGTGATTGCTAAATTACCAAATCACAAAAAAATGGATTTACCCACATTTGGGACTAATAAACGCCAGTCTTTGTCAAGGAATGTGCAATCTCACCATACTACCTCCTTCACTCTTAGGAGCACACGGCCTACTGAAGTCCAGACCGAACCCTGAAGACTCCAACAAGAAGGAGCTCCTGCCCGCCGCCATTGCGGAAGAATTTGAGTGTCACGAGTATCCTGGGAACGAGACGTGCTCGCAGGCTGGGGACGTCCGTGTGAACGAGCAGCCGGGACTGACCTCCATGCACACCGTCTTCCTGCGGGAACACAACAGGATCGCCAGGCGGCTCTCCCAACTCAACCCGCACTGGGACGACGATCGGGTGTTCTTCGAGACCAGGAAGATCGTCGGCGCGCTGATGCAGAAGATCTCGTACGGGGAGGACCTTCCTCACGTTCTCGGTCCGGCCGCCATGACCAAGTTTAACCTGACCCTCGGTAAGAGCGGGTTCTACTCCGGGTACGACGCGAGCGTGAACCCCACCATCTCTAACGTCTTCGCCACGGCAGCCTACCGGTTCGGCCACAGTCTGGTTAACGAACATCAGCTCCGCCTTACTCCGGACTTTAACCAGGGCAGCAAGTGCCCGCTACAGCTTGCCTTAGGTTTCTTCAATCCATCCCACGTCCTCAACAACGACCTAGGCGGCCCGGACTCCATCCTACGGGGACTGACCACCCAGCCACATCAGGACTTCGACCGGTTCATTGTCTCGAGCCTGACGAAGCATCTGTTTGCGGATCCTCCCGGGTCGCTCGGCCTGGACCTGGCGGCTCTGAACATCCAGCGGGGCAGAGACCACGGGCTGCCCGGCTACAACGCCTGGAGGGTGAGGTGTGGTCTGCCAAAAGCAAATAGCTTTGAAGAATTGGTGTTTGAAATCCCAGACCGTTACATCCGAATGAGGCTGGAGGATTTATACAGGTACGATTTTTAAATCATGCTGTTGAAGTGCATGTACCAATACATTATTTACACAGGTGTGGAAGAGTGCCTGCGGATTAGTGCAGATCTGTAGGTGACTTTGTCTGCATGTAAACTGTCTTTACGCATTCATAAGGGACTGTTGTTTTTTGTTATTGTTTGCACAAAGAGTTGAGGTTCTACTAATTCTGATGATGTATTTTCTCTAGTCACACACTGATCAAACGCGAATCAGCGTTTCTAGCAGGGAAACACACTTTGAATCATGTTGATATATTGTCACATGTTGTGACTGTTACTTATTTGTAATGTTGCGCGTGTCTCGTTTCGCACAGCCACGTGGACGACATCGACGTGTTCGTGGGGGGTCTTGCCGAGGAGTCCGTGCGGGGCGGTGTCGTCGGTCCAACCTTCGCCTGTCTGATTGGCCTGCAGTTCCAAGACCTCCGAAAGGGGGACCGCTTCTGGTTCGAGAACCGCGGACAGTTTACAGCAGGTCTGTGGGCATGTTGTCAGCAAAGGCAAAATAGGATTGACAAAGTATAAAACTCTCTCCCTTAATCTAGATATGTGTACTTTAGGCACGACAGAAATCTGGCTACTAGTTTTCTCCACCCTTCTTTGTTTGATATTCTACTGTTACTTGGTGTTCAATGTTTGGATGTAAGAGAGGAAGATTACCACCACATTTTCGTTCACTTCAACTTTCAGGAAGACCGGCCTGGCCAGACAGAGGTCTTGTGTACGTGGCTTTATCTCAGGATGATGATGATCATTTCCCGTTTCCCTTTTTCTCCAGCCCAACTTGAGGAGATCAGGAAGACCAGTCTGGCCCGGATCCTGTGCGACAACACGGACGGCACCACACATATGCAGCCGGACGTCTTCAGCCTGCCCACACAGCCTAGGAACGAGAGGGTGGCGTGCTCCTCTCTGTCCCAGATGGACCTGACCAAGTGGCAGGAGTAAGGGGTTTTCTTCACAATGTGTAGAATAGCACAACACCATAAGTACACGTACAGTTCCACCACGAATCCCCGGCCCAATTCAGTTATAGTGCCTGTAATGAAATGTAACCTGCGCTAGGATTTCCTTCGGAGTTACTCAGCTACCAGCAAAAAGCCAGCAACTTATTTTCTAGTTGTAAAGGTTGGTATGATCTGGCGAACCAGTTTGAGCTGGTGGAACGCTAATTTTCTAGGTTTTTTATTGCTCTGTACAATCTAGACTCTGCTGTATTCAACAGCAGTGATCCTTAAATCTAAATCATTTCCTTACCAATTTATATATTATGTTCTCAAGGAACGCATCTCTGGCAGATTATGAGGAAGCCCGGAGCCTTCCGGAGTTGCTGGAAGAAGAGAACGCCCTGCCCGGCCGCGGATTTGAAGTCTACAACGCCGATGACAAAGTTGACCGGTAAGCTAACATAGAAATGATTCTTGTAAAACCAACATCTTCAGTATACCCTAGATTCGAAGGCAAAATACACGAGCAAACATCAAATGTAGTACATGTAGCCACCACAAAATGATCAGGTGTTAACTAAAACTCCAGAGGTCGACTCAACTTTGTGATTATTCAGCACAGAACTATAACATTTGAAACAGAAGACAGTTCATGGACAGTTCAATGTGACTTATTCAGCAGGCATACGAGATATAAGATTTATCACAGGCCTTTATTATTCACAAGGATGGCTGAGGAAGCCCGCACTCTCCTTGAGCTGCTGCGCGGGGAACAGGAGGACATCTACCGGGAGGAGAACGCCGGGCCAGACGGCGAGTTAGACACCAATGACGTCGGGTACATCGACCCTGAGGAGTACGGCCAGGACATGGCCAACGATTTGGAATAGACCCGTGAGGTAAGAAACATCTGCAGTAGACTTCCTCAGCAGGTAGAAACGACTTGGTTAAAGCAGACCCTTCACTTTCACCAAGCTGCATGGTTAAAGAGCATGCCAGCTTTGTTAGGGACTTCTCTCCCCGAGCCAAATAAATATGGATCCATCAGCCAATAAATTTGTTTATGAATCAAACCATCATTTCTGTGACAAAACAAACAACAACAAGAACAATTATTCTTATTGTAGAATAAAGCACGTTTTACCATGTTTTTTTTCTGTTTCCTAACAGGACCTGGGATGGCGATGGTCCCTCCGCATCCTGCGTGTGCCGAGCACCATCCTGGCCGTCCAGTACCTGCAGATCAGCCGCATAGATTTTAGCTGCTTTTGCCTCATTTAACCATGACAAGACTCGTGAGTGGATATCAGTGTTGGCAATCACAAATCACCTCCACTCAGAAAGCGTCTCTGCCAAAATAAAATTGGAATGAAATCCTGTGGACATATGTCCAATATCAATTGCTAGGTCATTTAGATATACCATGAGGGCACAGGAAGCCAAAATATACATTTTTGTTCTAACAAAGGATTAAGTTCCTGAAAAGGTGAAAATCAACATCTTTCTATTGTTCTCACAGTCTGTGACATAGATAAAAGGTTTCCTTCTTCAGCCATCTCTAAACTTCCATGTCTTTATAGGGTAAGTCCTGGACCTGATCATTGCTTTTTTATCTAGTCTTCACAACGTCTTCCACTTCTGCCCAGTCACATGTAAGTTCCTACACAGACGTTTTAGTATAGTAATCTGCCGTCTTGTAATTGCTCAAGGAACCCATAGGCCAGCTTTGCTGCACTATGTAACCAAGATTTATGGCAGTAAAAATCTAGAAAACGCATGTTGTCGGTTTTTTAGTCGTGTAGGTATATATGGAAGAATAAAATTAATCAAAGATCTGTTGAAAACGTTTGTAAATGACTTGTTTCATTCCCTACCATGAATTCCTTGCTGATTTTGTCAAACGCACCTTCCAGCAATATAAGGCAACAGATAAGCATTGAAATTGAAGACTGTGCACACATGTGACTCCTGACCGATCTATTTTTTGAGTGTTTTTGAGGGGTTCGCCGTGCGGTTTCCGCACACAGAAAACGGTAGGCCGGCGCAGTCCATGTCAGCTCGGGCGGATACCGCTCAATTAAATAATTTCTCACTTCAATGACAAATACGATAGATTTCAATAGACTTGTTGCTACAAATAGATTTGATTATATATTTAAATGCAACAGCCCACACAATGCAAAAATAGGTAAATACATAAAAGACTGTTTTGTTATTAGAAAGAATACTGATTTGCTGTCACATGTGCCCATAAATAACTCCGCCTGATTGTAAAGCCTAAGCTAACTTTTGATTATTTCTTTTCTATATATAAGTTGTTCTTTTCTATATATAAGTTGTTAAGTTTTATTCTATACCTATCTATTTTACTATGCTACTAATTGTTACCTATTTGCCATACAATGTACCCTGTACAATTGTCGTGCAATAAAGTTCGTCTTCTTTTATTGAAAAAAAAAACTTACGTTCATTGCAGTTCCAAACAAGCTGCTAGGAGTCCCAAAATTACACCTTTTGCTCCCATCCTCAACAGCTGCCCACAGCTCAAAAATCATTCACCTGCCACTTGCGGAAAATTTTACCTTAAACTTTAACATCACGCTGCAATACTTAAAAAGCCGCTGGAAGGCCCATTATCGAACTTGAGCTTTGCCTATCTTGTCCCTACCCAAACAGTAAATACCACTGTGTTTATGAAATGCTAGTGACCCTTATGATCGAACATGATGTAATCTGTACACAGATATTGGTAGGTTTTGGCTGGTGTGGGTTTTATTTAGGGCTCCCAGACTTCATAACGGAAGCTTTCGTTGCATTTTTCACGGTACCAGACAGTACCTTACTACCTTGTAAAAGAATAACAACATTTTTGGTTTAATTAGGCTCTTATGTGGTCAATATTCTGTTTGTGTCGTTATTATTGTCTAAAATCACACATTTTGCAAGTACATGTACTAAAAAAACGGTTACTTATATTGAGCACTAGAGCTGTGTACCGGTACGCAGTACCGATACTGTACCGGAAAAATTGATTAGGTACAGGTCCAAAATACCTAATCCCTCAGTACCGGTACTGTACCTAAACAATTTCACACCAATTTTATGCCTATTTGTGACCTCAAATGGGTCCCTGTGTAAGGACAGAGTGTTCATGAAAACAAAAACATCTTTAGTTTTGCCTATATTTTATCTGAGCATTCGCCATAAACAAAGAATAAACCTTAACTAACAAGTTTATTAATGTTTTTTTGTTATTGAAGGAGTTCAGAAGAGCATATAAATTGGTCGAATTGTTCAGGTACAGGTTCAGGTCCGGACCTGTACCTAAACCTGTGTACCTGTACCTGTACCTGTACCTAAAATTTGTTTAGGTACACAGCTCTATTGAGCACTGTTAATAAAACTGCCATAGCCGATATCTGTATCAAACCACCACCTAACAACCACCACCTAACAACAAACAACAAATACTGTACATACTAAATGGTCATTGATCCAATGAAACAGCAATAAGTACTAATGGGATCTATATCTACATCAGCAAGAGATTCGTCCTATTGGTACTTACTTTAGCTTTATAAAAGTGAAATAGCTTCGGAAGAAACAGCAAGCGAATATTGTCTGTATCGACTAATTGTAACGTGGTTTCTGCAAATTAAACACGCTTATAGGTAATTGTTAGTGTAAATTTAAAGCTATATACTGAAAAATTTAATTTGTTCAAATATTATCAGTAGCATCCTGGTAAAGACAAAGGATTCAAATTAGAGATAACTAGGATGAATGTCCCACGGCCACGCCATATGCACTACCAAAAATGCCTTTTTCTTGTTTTTCTCGTTTTCCTTGTACAAAGAAATGGTATCCTTTATCAAGATAATAATTCTTTGAACAAGAAATTAAAGAATCCCTGTAGCAAGAAAATTCAAGAAACACAGGTGTTTCTTGAGTTTTCTTGCTGCAGCAAGAAAACGATTCTGTCCACAAGAAAATATTTCTTGAACTAAGAGCTAACTGTTCTTGAAGCAAGAAAACCATTCTGTACACAAAAAAAAAAGATTTCTTGTAGCAGAAAAAAATACTGTTAACTTTCTAAAAATTCTTAAGATTCTTGTTGGTGAGCATGATAGTAGACATATTTTCTTTTCTTAAGACAAAAGAAGAATAAAATTCTTTGTGTAAGAATCAACATACAAAATCTTTAAAGAGTGTTTCTTGAATTTTCTTGAAAATCCCCCTGGCAAGAAAATATTTCTCAACATAAGAAAATAAGAAAAAAACATTTTGGTAGTGTGGCTTGAAACCAGTCTCAATAGTCCGGAAATACTCGCCGTGACGTGTGAACATCTGTAACCTCTCGTTCATATGATCCGCCACGATGATGTGACCCGAGCTGTCTGTACAGATGCCGAGGGGAGAATGCAGTTGACCTTCACGATTTCCCGAACCTCAAAACTTCAGCCGGAACTTCCCGGACTCGTCATACATGTAGACAGAATGGGTGATCGTACTTATACTAAACATGTAATGGCAGAGAAATAGCCGGGGAAGAAACAATTATTACCAATGTAATATTTGTTTAAAGTAAAAAAAAAAATTGATCCAACACAACAAAGTTCTCTCACATAGAAATTTCGACCTGTCACTCTGGTCTTCTTCAATAGACTGACCCATTGAAGCTTATCACGTAGCTTCTTTGACGTGTGAGGTCAACTCTGGGTCAAAGGTATCTTGTAGTGTGTAATATTGTTTGTAACGACTAAATGTAACAAATAAAACACGCTTATAGATTATTGTTTGCAAAGCTATAGACTGTATAAAATTTCTGTTGAAATATAATATCTCATCAGCATGCTAAGGAAACAAAACATTTTAATGCTTTAAAAGGCATTTAAATCACAGATAACTAGGAAATACAGTCACTGTATTGCCATAATAATCAGTCACCACAAGCTGCCCTTCCGGTCCCACGGCCACGCCTTCTGGCTTAAACCCAGTCTCAATGGCCCGGACATACTCGCCGTGACGTGTGAACATCTGTACCCTCTTGTTCCTCCGGTCCGCCACGATGATGTGACCCGAGCTGTCTGTACAGATGCCACAGGGAGACATCAATTGACCTTCAACGCTTCCCTCACCTCCAACTTTCAGCAGGAACTTCCCGGACTCGTCATACATGCAGACAGAATGAGTGAAAAAGTCCGACACAAGGATGTTCCCTTCCCCGTCCACAGTGATGTAAATCGAGACTCTCGGCCCGACCCCAGGATGTCGGAACCTCCGCACCAGAGAGCCGTCCGGAAGGAACACCTCAACTTCACCACGTTCTGCATCAGTTACCAGGATGTGACTATTGCGCATGTCCAGCACAATACCGCCGTGTGAGTACCTGCTCTTCTGAAGGTGAAACTGTGTCATGGCGGTCCCGTCCGTGCTGTACTGTACAACATGATCGGCTGATTCACCACGCCCCACTGCCCACAGAGTACCGTTACCGTCCATAGAAACATCATGTGGGACCATGTCCTTGTCCTCTGTACCCGGTACGACCGTTGGGAAGTGGCGGAGGTAAATCCCCTCTGTGGTGTGGACTTGGACTCGCTTGTTGGCTTTATCAGCCACAAATATCTCGTTACTAGACGACACCACGACGCCGCGCGGAAGCCGAAATTTCCCGGGTTCTGATCCCGCCCCGCCGTAAGTGATCTTACCCTGCCTAGAATCTCTAGTAGTACGAGGTGCTGCTCCCCCTGCTTCTACTAGCGTGGGTTGCTTTTGATCGGGTTGTTGCGTGGAAAGTTTGTCTCTCTCCTTTTTATCTCCTTCCGTGCTCTTCTCTGCGTCCTTTGCAGTCGATTCTTCTCTTGCGGTTTCACCCGAATCCACTTCATCCCCTGCAGTGCCCTCGTAAGCCGCTAGGTGTCTCTCAACATCTGCCTTCTCAAATTGTGCCGACCAGCCGCCAAGAGGCTTCTCTCCCCTGTACTCTGTCACGTGAGAGGTGACCTGCTTAGCAGCTTTCTCGGTGTATTCACGGGCCTGCTGAAGTTTCTTTTCAAGGACAGCGTTCGCCTCTAGAGCTTCCTTCAACCTGTTCTCTGAAATGGTCAGCTTGGAGCGCAAGGTCATGATCGTGTTGGAATCCACTTCTGCCTTTTGAATGAGCTTCTTCATCTTTTGTTCTCTGAGCTGATCCTTCATCTCTTGTTCTCTGAGCTGATCCTTCTTCTTCATCTCTTGTTCTCTGAGCTGATCCTTAAACACCAGAGCCTGGACCAGGCTATAGGAGAAGCCCTGGTACTCCAGACTCGCGGCTACCTGCAGATGGAGAGGCAGGGCGTCTGAGAACAGGTTTAGAGCGGACAGGCGGGTCCAGTTTCTGGGCGCCCTCTGCTGCTTGGTGCGGATACTGCAACCCACCTCGATGTCATCGACGATTTGATGTTTTTTAATATCTGTGATGTATAATGATTTTACACGTTATTTGACTCAGATTTTCATAAAAAAATGTTAATAACTGGAGAAACATTCAATTTGGTAGGTAAAATTTGAACGCTCATGAAGTGTAAATTGACATGTAATTATATGTGCATGTTCAAGGTCTTTCTATCTTTTAAATGTTGATATCTAGTTTAACATACCATTGACAATTGGTCCCTGTGCGACTTTGATTGGTGGCTGAGCGTCGATCTGCAGTAACGTGACGCCCATGAATACAAGTCGTGGGTCAGAGAGATTCGCCATGAGCCTCAGCACCGCTGTGCTCTTCCGCGGTATGGTGTAGTGCATTAGAATGCTTCTGCCTTTCTTGTAACCTCTGAACTTGATCTGTGACCTTCTAGTTCCGCATAGTGATCGTAAATTGTATCGATAACGATCTATGGTTTCCTGGATCATGTGTCTTTGGCCGTGAACGACCAAGTAGGCATTTGCTGATTCTGCTGGAAAATGTACATTTGAAAACATGTTAAAATCCTTTTTGTGTAGAATAAAAATGGTAAGTTCTACAGAGTTAGCATGGCGTTTACTGGGGCAAGAATATCTTCCAGAGAAAGATAAAACATTTTAGTTATTTGAATACATAATAATATTACACATAATAATTAGACAACAACTTTGTCCATCATACAATTAAAGTGCAAAGCTCTTTTTTCCCTGATGCATTTACATCAATTTCAGTGGGAGATATTTAAGGACAAAGTACGTTAATCTTTTTTCAGCGAGTGACAATAATTGCTTGTACTTACCACCAGAGCTTGCACCATCAGTGCTTGTTCCCGGTTCTAGTTCGGGATTTTCCGGAATCTCTCGGTCAGGCGGTTGGAACGGCCTCAGAACGTCCCTCACCAGGTCTGGTCGCCCCATTCTGTCCAAGATCTCTTCAAGAAAGTCCAGGTTCTCCTGGTCTATCTTGTCCATTTCTATTAACTTGTGGAAAACCTCGAGCGCTTGAGTAAGTCTTTCTGCAATACCCTTTGGAATCACATGGCTACAATACAACTTTATGAGGTACGTTTCGTTCATTGTCAGTTCATCCGATATACGTTGCAACATTTGCACGAAATCAAAATGGCGTCTATCAGCCTCTGTCACTCTGCTACGGATTGGAGCTGCCATTCTGAAACGAAGCGACAAACCTTTAGATCGAATGCCTATGGAAACAACACTGTTCTACTTTTGCAACCGCAATTGCAAGACTAGTTATGTTGTACCCATCATAGAAAAAAATCCACAACTTTGTTGGATATAGTCTCTCTGGAGTAGTAACGTTAGCAGAAGCAGAGCAGTAATAGTCGTAGTAAAAGCTGATGTGTTACGCCGAAAGGAGGTTATACCGGCTAAACAGATACAGAAAAGTAGTAGTGGTGGTAGTAATAGTAGTAGTAGTAGTTACTTTAGTAGTAGCAACAGCAGCAGTAATAGTAGTAGTAGTAGTAGCTATATAGTAGTAGTAGTAGTAGTAGTAGTAGTGGAATTAGAAGAACTATTACTTGTAGTATTGGTAGTAGCGGCTGCAGCAGTACTATGCGTAGTAGTAGCCTAGATAGCCTCCAACAGCCTCATAGTTATATGAATCGGGAGGTATTTCATGGTAGTCTTACCAACAGTAAATGGAATTCGTAACTCACCTCCCCAGTACAAAGGAGCCGATTTAAGAAATGTTATAAGCGTAGACCCTCCTTTAATACGAAGTGTTCTTCGCTTTATGGCCCTGGGAGTAGAATGGGCGTTCAAAAACTACATTTCGTAGCTTGACATTGTTGACCTAAAATGGCGGCCTTGTTGTGGTCCCACGTTTACAAAATACCTCACCTTCAGTGGCTGTACAGGTAAGGACCTAAGAGGTACTGAAGGTCGTTTAAAGGCTTACCTGCTTAAAATTACTTGTAGACAGTGACGCAAAATCAAGCTGAACCAAGCAACAATCGCCTTGTTGACCCACAAAAGACTTCTGAAAGCTGTAGAGGATCTGACTAATGAAGGTAACACTGTAAATATGGCGACTGGAAGAGCAGCAGTTTGTAATCTGTTGAACGTCGCCGCCCTGCTGACCTTGCCATGACGTAGTGGTTTTTCTTGTTTCAAACGCCCCAGGCCACATCCGCCTTGCTGGCTGTTACCTTCGCCAAGAAGGTTATCTTTTCAGTAGCGTTTGTGTGTGTGTGTGTGTGTGTGTGTTTGTGTGTGGTTTATCAAGATAACTCCATAAGCAGTGGATGGATTGGAATGAAACTTAATAGTTGGGTAGGTCTTCATGAGACCTAGAAATGATAAGATTTTAGACCCCTGGCGGCTTTTCTAGATACTGCAGCTGAACTTCCGGTTTTGGACATGCTAGGGTCACGAATCTCATGTTCTGGACATGCTAGGGTCACGAATTTTAGTTGGTAAATAGCTCTTGGGGTAGGGAAGAAGTGACATGAGTTTGGGTCCCCTAGCGCCTTGTTCTGGAACTACAGGAGCATTTGTTGAAAAAAATATGAAGGACGATAACTCAAGAACCGGTTAACGTATTGTCGTGATTTTTGGTATGTAGGTAGTTGAAGTGATGGTTGACATAATCAGATGGCAATAATGCAAATCAGGAGCCTATTTGCATAATTAATGAGGAAATTCTATAAATCTGCTTTGTTCGATAATAGAACTATGAAACACTTGTGACATCTACTTGAGAACGAGAAAAACATCTGAAGATATAGATTATGTAAATGAGGACATAATTTGCTTAATTAATGGCAAATGTTTATAATTCCATAGTTGTAACTGCTGCATGAAAAACAGTAAAGACAACAAAACATGTACAGTACGTTTTTTTATTTATTAGCAAAACTGAGATGCAAAAAGTTGATAAATCACTACTAGGCACATGTAGCTTACAGAAAACAATGAAAGCAAACAATACTCAACGACATCATAACAAATATGCATGCTCATGCTACAACTAATTCTCAACGACAAGGATCTAGTATATTTAAAGCGATCTTAATAACTAAAACAAAGAAACTATTTAAGTGCTGCAACAGCCCGGCGATGGCACCATCACCTCTAAAAAGGAACAGTGACTTGTGAGGTCCCTGACACACGACAACTGCATTTTTACTCACAACTTGTAGTTCTTTACAAAAGTTTTACGATTACGAAGGATGCAACAACTATGGTATCAATCTGATCTTTACAGTGCAGAGGGTTCAGTTTTGAAAGAAAAACAGCAAATAAGAGTCCCCATTCTTCTAACACATCATAATTTATAAATACATTATATGCAAGAACTACATATGTCCTTAATAAAAACAAGATGGTCACAAGTCAATATGGCGGCCACCGAGAATGGAGGGTTAAACAAAAATGGTTTTGCTATCTCATCAGTCCATCAGACTCTACAATCACAATCAGAATGGCACTTGTTGTCTGTAATGTACAGTTCATATCAGAAGTATGTATATATTTATGTGTATATATTTACCTTCGCCAAGAAGGTTATGTTTTCAGGGGCGTTCGTGTATGTGTGTGTTTGTGTGTGTGTGTGTCTGTCTGTAAACACGATAACTTGAGAAGGCCTTCATGGATTGTCTTGATACTTGGTAGGTGGGTAGGTCTTGATGAGACCTCAAAATGATTAGATTTTGGACCCCCTAGCGGCTTGTTATGGTACTGCAGCTGAACTTCCGGTTTTGATATCTCATGATCTAGACATGCTATGGTGATGAAATTTGGATGGTAGGTAGCTCTTGTGCTGGGGAAGAAGTGACGTGAGTTTAGGCCCCCTAGCGGCTTGCTCTGGAACTGCAGGGATATATTCTTGAAAATATTCAAAAGGGGATAACTCAAGAACCAGTTGACGGATTGTCGTGATTTTTGGTATGTAGGTAGCTTACGTGGTGCTTGATATAATTATGTGACAATTATGCAAATATGGATGTAATTTGCATAATTTATGGTGAAATTCTATAAATCATCTGCATTCCATGATAGGGCAATTGAAGCTTGTGACATTGGTAATTGACAACGAGAGAAACACAGGAAGATATTGATTATGTTAATAATGACTTAATTTGCATAATTAATGAGAAAAGTTTATAATTATGTAATGATAACTGCCTGGAATTTCATACTTGTATTTGAAAGTTAAATTGAGGTGAACATCATTAAACATAATTTATTCAAATCAGGACCTCATTTGCATAATTTATTAGGAAATGCTAGAATGCATTGTTTGATAATATAAGACTGTCTTTTGGTTGAGATTATGATAAAATGATATAATTCATGAAAATTAGGTTCCTATTTCTTAAATCGGGGGAATAATCTAATGTATAATTTGTCAGTCATAAAGATTAACATCATTTGGCGAAGGTATGAGATCGGGGAACTCTAGTACGATATGTAATCGTAATGTAATGTTGTGTGTTTATTACCTCCATGACATGTCATGGGGGTTGTACTCGTATTTACCTCCACGACATGAGTACAGAGATCATTTTGTACTCTAGACAAAACTTGATTTCTAATATTAAAAACGTTTGTTTATCTAGAACAATGTCCCTCTGACGAAGGCACGAGATCTCCGACCTTTAGTTTTGTGTTCATTTTAAAATGAAATATGTGGTTTGCAACTTTATAGTGTTAGCGCTATACTGTCTGTCAATATATAAAGGCCTGTAACTACGACTATAAGGCCACAGAAAGTTGTTTTTATGGATGACATCAGCGCGGGCAATAATTTTCGCCTGATTTTGAAAAAAAAATTGTTGCCCTCTGACAGTGGTCAACATGCTGGACATAGGCAAAGATGTCTGTTGCCATGCCGGAACGTGGTTGGCAGATAAATATGAAGAGAGGAGACAAGAAAGACTCTGATTTAATGTTTTGTTTTTACTTTGATGAAGTAATATGTGATGGTAGCTGTGTATGTGGTGTATAATTATGTGATGCTCCCACTGAATCAAAACCATTTGTACAATAATTGATTCAAAATTAAAAAATGTAGAAACCTTTTTTTTTCGCCCGCTCGCATTAAATTTGGACTCTGCGGACGATGTCATCGATAAAATTTACTTGCTGTGGCCTACCGTTGAGTAATGTTGAGCATAAAATGCAACAACACCTCAAAACACACTGAAAAACATGCTGTTTAATGTCAACAGGATACCTTCCTGTGCTATGCAAATGAGGTTTACCACCCAGGATTCGCAATGTATCCTGGGAATGGGAAACGCGTGAATGCTTATCTGTTGCCTTATGTTGGAAGGTGCATTTGATAAAGTCAGCACGAAATTCATGGTAGGGAATTAAACAAGACATTTACAAAAATTTTTAACAGATCTTTGATTTCTTCTTCCATACACACCGACACAAAACAATAACCAACAAGGTCTCTCATCATACGTTTTCTAGATTTTTATTGCCAGAAATCTTGGTTACAATAGAGCAGCAAGGCTGACCTCAGGGTTCCTTGAGGAATAAGACATTACTATACTAAAACGTCTATGTAGTAACTTAAGTGGGCAGAATTGGAAGACGTTGTGAAGACTAGATGAAAATGAACAACAGTACGAACAGGTCAGAGGCTTACCCTATAAAGACATGAAAATTTAGAGATGATTGAAGGAGGAACCCTGTTCTCTATATGTTACAGACTGTGAGAACAATAGAAAGATTGATTTTTGATTTTCATCTTTTCAGGAACTGAATCCTTTGCTGTAACAAAAATTTATATTTTGGCTTCCCTTGCCCTCGTGGTATACCTATTATAGTAAATGACCTAGAAATTGATACGGGACATATGTCCACAGGGTTTCATTCCGATTTTATTTTGGCATAGACCCTTCCTGGATGAAGATTTTTTGTGATTTTTATCACTGATATCCACTCACGAGCCTTGTCATGGTTAAATGAGGCAAAAGCAGCTAAAATCTATGCGGCTGATCTGCAGGTACTGGACGGCCAGGATGGTGCTCGGGACACGCAAGATGCGGTGGGACCATCGCCATTCCGGGGTCCTGTTAGAAAACAGAATAAAACAAGGTACAGTCTGAGTGAACGGTTCTACAATAAGAATTTTTGTTGTTTGTTGTTACAGAAATGATGGACCAAGTCACAAACAAGTTTATTGGCTGGTTGGTCAATATTTATGTGGCTCGGGAGAAGTCCCTGAACCAGCTGGTATGCTCTTTAACCAGCTTGGTGAAAGTAAAGGGTCTGCTTTAACCAAGTTGTTTCTACCTGCTGAGGAAGTCTACTGCAGATGTTCCTTACCTCACGGGTCTACTCCAAATCGTTGGCCATGTCCTGGCCGTACTCAGGCTCGATGTACCCGACGTCATTGGTGTCTAACTCGCCGTCTGGCCCGGCGTTCTCCTCCCAGTAGATGTTCTCCTGTTCCCCGCGCAGCAGCTCAAGGAGGGTGCGGGCTTCCTCAGCCACCCTTGTGAAGAATAAAGGCTTGTGATCAATCTCATACTTCGTACGCCAGCGAAACAAGTCACAATGAACTGTCCATGAACTGTCTTCTGTTTCAAATGCCATTGATAGTTCTGTGCTGAATAATCACAAAGTTGAGTCGACCTCTGGAATTTTAGTTAACACCTGATTATTTTGTAGTAGCTACATGTACTACATTTGATGTTTGCTCGTGTATTTTTGCCTTCGTATCTAGGGTATACTGAAGATGTTGGTTTTAAAGGAATCATTTCTATGTTAGCTTACCGCTCAAGTTTGTCGTCGGCGTCGTGGTCTTCAAATCCGCGGCCGGACAGGGCGTTCTCTTCTTCCAGCAACTCCGGAAGGCTCCGGGCTTCCTCATAATCTGCCAGAGATGCGTTCCTTGATATATAATATATAAATTGGTAAGGAAATGATTTAGATGTAAGCATCACTGCTGTTGAATACAGAAGAGTCTAGATTTTACAGAGCAATGAAAAACATAGAAAATTAGCGTTCCACCAGATCATACCTTCGCCAGATCATGTCAACCTTTACAACTAGAAACAAAAGTGGCCGGCGTTTTGTTGGTGGCTGAGCAACTCCGAAGAAAATCTTAGCGCAGGTTACATTTCATTACAGGTACAATCTGTAGAGCTGAATTGGGCCGGGGATTCATGGCGAAACTGTGTGCTTATAGTGTTGTTGATTGATGTAATGCATAAAGGTTTTTAGGAACGAAAGAATAGATTATTCTATACAAAAAATCCCTACTCCTGCCACTTGGTCAGGTCCATCTGGGACAGAGAGGAGCACGCCACCCTCTCGTTCCCAGTCTGTGTGGGCAGGCTGAAGACGTCCGGCTGCATGTGTGTGGTGCCGTCCGTGTTGTCGCACAGAATCCGGGCCAGACTGGTCTTCCTGATCTCCGCAAGTTGGGCTGTAGAAAAAGGGGAACGGGAAAGGATCATCATCATCCTGAGATAAAGCCACGTACACAAGACCTCTGTCTGGCCAGGCCGGTCTTCCTGTAACTTGAAGTGAACAAAAAATATGGTGGTAAATTTTCTCTCTTACATTCAAACATTGAACACCAAGTAACAGTAGAATAGCAAACAAAGAAGGGTGGAGAAAACTAGTAGCCAGATTTCTGTCGTGCCTAGTGGACACATATTTAGATTGAGGGAGAGAGTTTTATACTTTTTTAAATCCTATTCTGCCATTCCTAACGACATGTCCACAGACCTGCTGTAAACTGTCCGCGGTTCTCAAACCAGAAGCGGTCCCCCTTGCGGAGGTCTTGGAACTGCAGGCCAATCAGACAGGCGAAGGTTGGACCGACGACACCGCCCCGCACGGACTCCTCGGCAAGACCCCCCACGAACACGTCGATGTCGTCCACGTGGCTGTGCGAAACAAGACACGTGCAACATTACAAATAGTTAACAACCACAACATGTGACACTCTATCAACTTGATCCAAAGTGAGTTTCCCTTCTAGAAACGTTGATTCGCCGTTGATTAGTGCGTTACTAGAGAAAATACATCATCAGAATTAGTAGAACTACCTGCATGAACACATCGTGAAAACAATAACAAAAAGAACAGTCCCTTCAGAATGCTCAAAGACAGTTTACATACAGACAAAGCAAACTACAGATCTGCACAAACATGTAAATCCGCAGGCACTCTTCCACACCTGTGTTAACAAGGTATGGGTACATGCACGTCAACATTAACATGTTTTAAAATCGCACCTGTAAATATCCTCCAGCCTCATTCGGGTGTAACGGTCTGGGATTTCAAACACCAATTCATCGAAGCTGTCGGCTTTTGGCAGACCACACCTCACCCTCCAGGCATTGTAGCCGGGCAGACCGTGGTCTCTGCCCCGCTGGATGTTCAGCGCCGCCAGGTCCAGGCCGAGCGACCCGGGAGGATCCGCAAACAGATGCCTCGTCAGGCTCGAGACCATGAACCGGTCGAAGTCCTGATGGGGCTGGGCGGTCAGTCCCCGTAGGATGGAGTCCGGGCCGCCAAGGTCGTTGTTGAGGACGTGGGATGGATTGAAGAAAGCAAAGGCTATCTGAATCGGGCACTTGCTGCCTTGGTTAAAGTCCGGAGTAAGGCGGAGCTGACGTTCGTTCACCAGACTGTGGCCGAACCGGTAGGCTGCCGTGGCGAAGACGTTAGAGATGGTGGGGTTCACGCTCGCGTCGTACCCGGAGAAGAACCCGCTCTTGCCGAGGGTCAGGTGAAACTTGGTCATGGCAGCCGGACCGAGAACGTGAGGAAGGTCCTCCCCGTACGTGATCTTCTGCATCAGCGCGCCGACGATCTTCCTGGTCTCGAAGAACACCCGATCGTCGTCCCAGTGCGGATTGAGTCGGGAGAGCCGCCTGGCGATCCTGTTGTGTTCCCGCAGGAAGACGGTGTGCATGGAGGTCAGTCCCGGCTGCTCGTTCACACGGATGTCCCCAGCCTGCGAGCACGTCTCGTTCCCTGGAGACTCGTGACACTCAAATTCTTCCGCAATGGCGGCGGGCAGGAGCTCCTTCTTGTTGGCGTCTTCAGGGTTTGGTCTGGACTTCAGCAGGCCGTGTGTTCCTAGGAGAGAAAGAAGTGGAATGGTGAGATTTCACATTCCTTGACAAAGACTGGCGTTTATTAGTCCCAAATTTGGGTAAATCCATTTTTTTGTGATTTGTCAAAGTAGGTTCATAAACATCTAGAAGCAAATTTGGCACAATCAAACGGGGAAACACATACCTCCATAGACCTGAACCTCACATAGGACGAGATATTGGGTGGTAGGGAGTGAGATGCCGACATATCGGCCCCTTCGACCGTCACAGTCCACTGTGATCTTCTGTCGCCCCGATGTCACGCCGTGGTTCCCGCCGCATTGCGGGTTAGACTTTACGGTGGGAGAGTCCCCGACGTGAACGCGGAAGCTGTTTAGATAGTTGTAATAGCCCTGTCCGTTGAAAACGACGACTGTTTCGATGGCATGTGACGTGCCCAGGTCTACACGCCACCAGGGGTGGCTTTGCCTGCTAGTGTGGATGCAGGACCCTCCACCCCAGCTCCTGTCAGTGTTGCCGTCCACCGCCCTTCCGGCCACGCCTCCCGCATGCGTGCTGATCTGTGCCGTGGGTCGTCCCAAGGCAAGATTGACACCTGCGAGAAAAGTAAACGGAAATAAATAAATATTATCGGCATGGCTGTACTATATCGTATAGGCTATAGTCAAGACGTAGGTTATGGTCAATGCGTTCTTTAGCATAACACGGAAGCAAAATGTTCACCTCTTTTGCCCAAGTCACGTCAAGTGTGACACACGTTAAATTCACCAAAAGTAAAATATCTTATGCTCAACCTTGTACCAATGCTTTACACAGTAGTGGATCACATATAACTATTCACTGCGTATCTTCCTTGCATCGATATATGTATAGGTTGTAAAACAAGAATGACACGTTGAGGTTCCGTGCATGTTCAGTTCTGTGAGATATGGCTGCCAGCTTTATCCAGGACCGTACCCGGGCACGGTTCGGGATAGTCTACGCGTACACATAGCCATGCCTGCAGCTGCATAACATCGTCATCGGATACGCGGAGACTATCCAGAACCGTGTCTGATCCTAACTCTTACCCATTCAGGCAAAGAACTACATAGGCACGGTTCTGGATAGAATAAACATTCCAGGGGATCAAAGAAGTTGTGGAAACTTACCAGATGGGATTGGCCGAGCTTGGCAGATGAAATACCCGCTGGAGCAACTCCTGACGCCCCACTTGCCTCCCACTCCTGGCAGCAAAACCACGCAGTCTTTACTCCCTGAATTGCTTGGTTCTCCTGAGTTCCAGTTGTTGTAGGAACCTGTGGAAATGACGTAAAGTTTGCAACAGGAAGTGGTGAGAGAAACACGTCTCCTCATACAGAGTCTCCTTAACTCTGTCTTAGTTTACACTTGTGATGTCTTATTAGAACTCAATTGTAGAGTAAGGTCCAGTCATTGACATCCTACAGTCTTCCCAGTATAATAATAGCAGTATAGTAGAATAGCAGGATTGAAACAATGAAGAACAATCATCAAGCAAGTGATTACTGGAACTGTTACCCAATCTAGTTCCGTCAGCAAAGCGCCACTCTCCTTCGGTGGTTTGATCATCCAGTCCGATGTAGAAGACGACGTCATTTCGAACCGCATTCTTCAGCTGGACCAGGAACGCGTTGGTGGCAGCGTCTTTCGGCATGGCCAGAAAACCGTCGTCTTCCATGCATTCCTTCAGAAGCCAGCTCCGGTCTTTGGATGGGAAGGCCTTAAAGCAGTTTTGCTGGAAGTGTTCGTAGCCTGCCGGACAGGTAACTTGTTTCGAACCTGCAGAGCGTTTTCCAACAAAGAAGATCAAATGTCAGCAGTGCTTACTAACTCTGTTGTATCTAGAACCGTGCATATCTACTTCTACATGTATGTCAGAGTGTGTGTAAGGTTAGAATCAGGCACGGTTCTGGATACCCGTGGACTATCGAGACCCACCCGTGGCCTAGCTAGCATAAATCTGGATAAAGCAATGTGCTGGATACAACAACACTGGCCTGGAACTGCTAGTGAGGTCAATCATAAGATGTACTCGCCAAAGATCAGGACGAAAGTGATTCGGCAGCTAGTAGGGAAAACATCATACCAGACTCAAAGCAGCGACGTGAGGTCGTGTAATACTTACCACTACCAGCGTGTTCTCTGAGTTCCTCTATCTCTTCGTCCGAGGAGCCGTAGACGTTGGAGGCGTCCACGAAGGCGGTGATCTGGTTCAGCTGCTGCCGGCGGCCCATGTGGCACCCTTCGTTCGGACAGGATCGGGAGCGAGCGAACGGCAAGCAGCGGCTCTCAGCGGCGAAGTCAGGGTCGTCAGAAGGGATGTTGATGTTGAAACAGCGTTCTTCCTTTTCGCAATTGGTACCACAGGTACAGACGAGACCTGCAGATACACGGTCGAAATTTAAAGCAGACATATGAGGTGAAATATTGTGCGTATTGGAAGATCCCAGCCGAGCAACCTTTACCTGTGGGGTCGTGTGGAGTGCTCGCCTCGGTACCAAGAGGTCCCGGGTTCGAGTCCTGCCATGACACCGATCATGTGCCATTGGGAAAGGCACTTTACACGACCTTCCTCACTTCGCTCAGGTGAAAATGAGTTGTTGGTATATTAGAAGAAAAATACGCTACCGACTATCTTCACCCAATGTTAATGTTATGCGTCCATATATGTCCATGACATGCCCAACCCCTTTCAAAAAAGCCTGTTTCTAAGACCGGACATGATCCGAATAATTCATATGGTTGTGTGTGTGTGTGTGTGTGTGTGTGTGTGTTTGTTGAAAACAGTTAATGCTTGATAGAGGTGCATTTTATGTTTTCACGAACCTTCTTCCTGAAAGTTGGGGGTGAGAGTGATGTCGTGGTCCAGGAACTGTCCGAACTGCATGACCATGTTGGTGTTGACCGGGCTGGATTTCCGCAGGTCCTCGTGCATGGTCGTGCTGACCAGCCGCGCGCTGGGGAGGGGGGCGCCGTCATGTCCAGTGGTCCGAGGTGTCATGAGACCTGATGAAACACAGTAGGCGATATTAGTGCAGATTTTGTATCCAGAACCGTGTCTGTCTTGTTCTATGCATGAACGGGTTTAAGTAAGGATCAGGCACGGGTCTAAATACGTAAAAACTATACAGAATCGTGCCTGAGCAAGGTTAGTCGAAGACCCAATCACCCTGACCGAACATTCGGTTCTACTTCGGGGTTTCTTTAAAAACACAAAACCGTACGACAGATTAAAGGAGGCTTGCCCAATGGAAGAGCTGCTAGAAGCGTGATTTAGTCAGGCTAGGATCCTTACACGAGGAAGGGCTGCTAGAAGAGTGATGTAATCGGGATATAAAATCTACATACCGTCGCCGTATTCTGGCTGTAGCAGCCTTCTTAAGGGTTGCTCACTACTTCCCCACAGGGGGTGGTTCCGGTTGTTACAACGGCCGTTTGCCGAACGGAACTCTGGGACGGCTGGTGTAGGGCACGTGATCGGCTTCATGGATGTGACGTCACAAACACTTGTCACGTCCTGGGAGTCGATGGCGGACAGCGCTTCTATAGTGTAGCGTGTGCTACCGGAACTAAAAATCAAAGATTTCTGTAAATAACGAATTCAACGCGCTTGGAAAAAAAAAAACAAACTGGAGTTCACTTGTTGAGCTACCCATAGTTCCCCACACTTCCCCGCATGCAATGGTATTCTTGAAAAGATCTATGTCAAGTGATCAACCAGGAACATTTGTCTTCTCATTTATATACGAGAGGCGAAAGCTTTGTCGTATCCAGAAGAATGCTCGGGCACGGTTCTAGATAGTCCACGTGTCCATAACCGACACGGTCCACGCGTATCCAGAACCGTGCCTGGGGCATATCTAGTACGTTCTTGGATACGCAGAGACTATCCAAAACTGTGTCTAATCCTAATCCTAACCCATTAGGGCATAGAACTAGATAGGCACGGTTCTGGATACGATATGGTCTTACCGGTCTATGAAGTACTTTGCCACCTTCTCCAAGACGGTAGCACACCTGCTGAGCTCCCTGGCCATCGGGGTGGAGCGATGTTCCCTGCCCAGCGCGTCCAGAGCTCCGGAGAGCGGACTTTCCTCTAGTTCAGCACCTGGAAGGCACACGGGGTAAGCTGTAACAGATATAGTCTGAGACCACAGTTTCGACAACTTTGCTACTTATGTTGTGTTATTAGACCAATGTCTGGAGAGACAACAGATAACAGGTTTGAATGATGGAGGTTCCAGCCAAGGCATTTGCGGCATCATAAATGTTACCACGAAAATAAACCACGGCGGAGTCCACTGCCTGGATACAAGACTATTCTAGGGCCACAACACAACACAATAGATGTAGGTGGGGCTGTCTATATATTGTAGAATCTACTTAGAGACATGTCGGCCCCGGAGCCGAGGTGCTAGCCTGCATACGTGCCCTGGCAACAGGCACGGTTCTGGATAAGCGTGGAACGTGCCTGAGCATGTTTCTGGAAAACGCACGGTGCACTCACCTGCGGAGACTGCTACATTTTCTGCTGCTGCCTGGGCGATCGCCAGCAGCAGTTCTTCTTCTGTAGGGCTCTGGCCGGTAACCATGACAACCAGCGGCGCCATGGCAACCGCAGCGAAGAACATCAGGATCAACCTGAAAGTAGAAGAAACCCTTGTCACCGTTGTGTAGTAGAATGGTTTATTTCAAAATTACAAACTCAAGACATAAACAATTTCAATATAATTACCACCACACTGACAACAGACTCGCAGGCAGCCATATAGCTGCCTGAATTGCTCTGAGGTCACAAAATATCATTAAAATATGGGTATTATTATTACAACATTATTACATATTATTAAATATTGTTAAAATTTATAAATCGTAAAATATTCCTCTGCTATAGAAAATGGATTGATAATCAATATACATGTTTAAAACGTTACACAGTAAAAAAGGTTCGGTGAGAGGCTGTTGTACAACATTAGCAACAGATTACTCTTACATTGCCGTTTCAGAGTTATTCAGTAACTTAACCATGTATGGTAGTGCGCTGTTTCAAAAGCGTTCGGTTCTTGTTCTTGTGTCTAATACTTTGCATCAGCTATGTTTGATATCACTGATGATACTTTCCACTCAGTAATCCTCACATAAGGCCACAGCAAGTGAAGTGTATGGATGACATCCTCCGCAGATTACAAATCTAATGCGAGCGGCCAAACAAAGACAAGGCGGGCATGTCATCCATAAAAATTACTTGCTTTGGCCTAAGTGGTCATGGTCATAAAATATCCAAAAGTAAATTTCTTCTAGTGGTGAACTGTGAGAGCCTGAGAAACAAAACAGCTGAGCTGACACTGCTGTACACAGCTATACCAGACATAGTAGCAGGCACAGAGTCGTGGCTCAATCAAGACATAGCAACCAGTGAAATATTCCCTGACAACTACTTAGTGTTAGGCAATGTCAAATCTCTGTAGTTTTATGTCAAACAGACGACAGCGTGTGCCCTACCATGGCCAATTTTCTGACAGGCAACATCTGTCTTGCGTCCTAGCCTCCTTCGCAGTCTTGTTGGGTGTCGGCGTTATTTTTTTCTGTGTGCGACGCAAGTAATATGCGGCCGCGAGGGACGATATGCTGCCGAGGGAGTTTTTGCCGTGGAGCGCGAATCCTTCTCTCTGCGGCAAAAACTCCCTCGGCAGCAAATCGTCCCTGGCGGCACATATTACATATTGCGTCGCTCACAGAAAAAAAATAACGCCGACGCCCAACAAGACTGCGAAGGAGGCTACCAACACACAGGAAACAGAATTCCGGCAGAACACGCGTAACGCCAACAGACTGGACACTCGAACAACTCGCCACAAAAAGTCTGCAATAGCATACATGACATACCTGCTGAACAAATAACGTTACCTGAACTGACAATCTGTAAACACCGACGCCCCCTCACATGTTTATACAACTTGTATTGAATTTAAAGGACTTCTATTTAATGGTTTCTATTTCTTGATTGTAAATCAAATTTGATAGTCAACATTTAAGTCCGTAGCGCTTTTATATCGTTGTAAATGCCTGCCAAGTCAGACGTATTGTCTGCAAGAAGGTGTGTGAATAAAGTTTCAAAGTTTCAAAGTTACATAGCAGTATAGCACAACAGAAAACTGGCCCAGGAGGTGGTGTATTCCAGGTCAACAGGGATAATTAATTCAAAACTCACAGACCTAGAAAAGCATAAGACAAGCACACTCGCAGACATACTGGGAGAAGCTATATTTGACAAACCCAAAACATTCTGGTCGTACATAAAAGGACTGAGAAGAGACCTAGTCGAGATAGCAACCCTAAAGGTGAGGAATGCCTTCTCTCAGGGCTGGTTGTTGGATGGCCGACAATCAAAAGAACGGGTTAAAAAAGTCTACAAAACGCAGTGTCAAAACCCCCACCCCCCGGAGCCTGCACAGGAGGCTAACCTTCATCAGTGAAAGCGGGAAAAAAGCAGAAGCGCTCAGAGGACAATCTAAAAGTGTTTTCACCGAAGACGACACCACAGATATGTCACCTCTCGGTCAGCCCTGTACCCCTCCCATGTAAGATAGAAGTTCCTATTGATGGTGTGGTAAAATTCTTAAATGTCTCAATCCCTCTAAAGGAAGCGGACCGGACCAAATATCGCCCTGGCTCCTCAAAATGACAGCTATTAAAATTACACCTGCGTTAACCAATATTTTTCAACACTCTTAAATACCGGAGAGATACCTAAAAACTGGAGGGATGCAAATATTTGCGCCATTGACAACGAGGGAGATGAAGCGGTCGGATCCCAAGCAACTACGTATACAGAGTGACCTGTTTCACTGACCTGTGTATCATGTAAACTACTTGAACACATCATCCATAGCCAAGTTATGAAGCATTTAGAAAGTTACAACATATATTGACGGACTGGGTTTAGAGCCAAGCGATCCACAGAAATACAGCTTATACTAACAGTTCGTGACACAGCTGGAGCACTGACAGTAAAAGGCAGGTAGATTTAGCGATACTGAATTTCACAAAGTAATTGAGTTTCAATTTAGTTTCATTTTATCTATTTTATTTTAATTTTTAGAGTAACCCCTGCGAACCGAACAGGTGTTACTCGTACCTAAGCGATTGCAGGTTTATGTCCTTGCCGTATTCGATGAAAAGTTCTATACAGATTCGGGGAGTGATAACAACAGTATATGTGCAAAGTAAAGTGGGACTGGCCATGGTAACACTATTTATCGCCTGCAGCAGTCATTACTTACCTGGCATTCGTTATCATCATAACCTATGAACTCATTACATAGTAGACAACTTCAAGGACAGTCTAGCAAACATCTAGCAAACCGCTCGAGCAAAGTCACCATCCTTATACTTTGTCGAAATACTAATATTTTTTTTGTAAAATCATTCCCGATGGTTTGTATAGTATTAAGGCCACACCGACCTAATTATATGGATGGCATCCACGCGCGTATTGATTTTCGCCTGTTCTAAAAAAAAAAAGATCACGTCTGGCCTGGCTCTAGGCCTGGGTGGTCCATGGTACGAGTAGTTAGCGACAATTCGGAGCCGGTGGTGACCCTGGAGGATGGCACCAATGGCACCAAAGCTCCAGTCCACGATTCAATAAGTCAGTACATTCGTACAGTGCCGATTTATAAATTCAGCAAAAAGCCAGCATGTGCTGGCTTGTCGTGTACGTCGTTTTTGTACTGCTGGAAATTCTCAATACCAGCTTTGTATTCCTGTGGTTTAGTAGCATTTTTATTTTTGGCCGGATTTTGGCCGGATTTTGTTTTATTCGCACTAGTTTGGGGGTCTTCAAAGGATGTCATCCATAAAATTAAGTCGGTGTGGCCTAATAGAAAATGTATATATCAGCCCCAAACCCAGGCCGCCGGAGGCTCGTTCCCGAGGCCTGAAGCACGCCTATCTTCCTCCCCGACCGTGTCCTAACCATTTCAGACCCTTTCCGAATGCTTACCCATTCCGAATGCTGCCAAGCCCGAATGCTGACCAACCTACTTCCAGCCTTCTCGACCACTAGCCAAAGACTCCTACTCCCTTCTAACTATTTTTCAACTCCGTCCCGAAATGAGAATTTGCAGAATCAGAGACTATAAGAAACAGACCAGGGGTCCCCTACTTCGTGGTATAAAGTGACAAATAACGCGTACGTTCAGCTTACTTTGCCAACATGACGTCTGTGAGAGCGGTACCGACTGGAGACGATGCCGAGCCGACGAGAAGACGACGCCGAGCGGACAAGAGACGATGCTGAGCCGACGGAAGACGAGGTCGAGCCGGCGGGAGACGATGTCGAGCCGACAAGAGACGATGCCGGGCCGACGGGAGACGATACCGAGCCTACTGGACAGGATATCGAGCCGACGGGAGGACGATGACGAGCCGACGGGAGGACGATGACGAGCCGACGGGACACGAAACACGGGCCGACGGGACACGATGTGGAGCCGACAGGACGAAGTCGAAGCAGTGAGGGTCTCTC